CAAAACAAGTGTTACTACAGTTTTCTTAAAGTTTAACAGTGTCCTGTGCACTCTGGCTGTTAGCTGCGGTCTCTCTGGAAAGGCAGGTAGCTGTGCGAAGCTCTGTCTCTCACGGAGCCTCACACGAGTCCTTGCTGCTGAGACACTGTGCAGCTCAGTTCCATTTAGTGCTCCTAATACTGGCTTTTTCCTCTTTTTAGTCGCTGAACAGCAGATTGCTGAGAAGGTGAAGAATACCACAAAGGACAATGCACTTGTCCAAAAAGCGTCCAGTTATGAACAGAAGGTAGAACCTGTTTCACGGCCCCTCCTCTAGCTGTATGTGCTGTAGCTCAGTTATTACGGTATTTTGAAGGCTTACGTTCTGGCTTCATCATTTCCCCTGAGTCCTCCAGATCTTACGCACCATCATGTATAAAGCGAACGCTCTGCTCGCTTCCTTGGAACAAGCTTTTAGTAGCACAGTGACTTCTGTTACTTAGTTCTGAATGTGTTTTTTACATAGATCGAGGAATCGAAGAAGCTTATTGAGGAGACCAAGGAAAAAAATTCAATTCCCTGTAATCAAACAGTAAAATACAAGGTAAAAGTCCTTCACTTTTTGGGATTATAGTCTAAAAACAAAAGCAAGCATTAATGCGTATTGTTACTTTTAATATCTTTTAATATCTTTTCTTGTAGGCTGAAATCAAGATGCTTAAAGAAAGCAATAAATTTCTGAGTGATATTGCCAAAACTCTTCGTGTTTTATTCACATCTGAGAGGAAATGAAACGTGCAAAATCAGGATTTGGTGAGTTCTACTGCTGCGTTGTTTTTAGCTATTTCATAAATTAGCTGAACTGTTCCCATGCTGTTACCTCCTTAAGATTAGGAATAACAGAACTGAACATGCCTGTACCCATTTTGTGGGATTTTTAGTACTAACCCAGTAGGACTTTTGTATAGGCACGGGAAGTGTTTTGATCCTGAAACTTGGATAATTTCATAGCTGAGTCCTCCAGAACACACAGAGTCACTAAAAAACTGGTCCAGTTGAGTAGTCTGTGTAAACTGGTTTTATTTCACAGTAGACTCTGTGCCTTTTGAATAGTTTTCAAATCTCCTAAGTGGAAATGTAGTGAGGAGAGTTCTCATGCTTCCCGCCTCCTGTGTGGCCTGGTCCTTTGCTCAGCACAGAGCTGGAAAGTTGCCCATTTTCAGTCCTTTGTGCACCATGCTCTTTGGCAGGAAGTCACGACACACAACCTGCAGTTAAAAGAACGGTGAGTTAGGGTCACCCCTTGAGCCTGGATTGTCACAAATATTGAGAAATTCTGCACATGAGACTTTTTTGTGTTGTTTTGTTTTGGTCTTGTGTTTTTGAAACTGGGTTTTGTTACGCAGTTCAGGCTGGCTGTGAACTCACTTTGTATCGTAGGTGGGCCTTAAACTCTCCTCTCCTGCCTCAGCCTCCCAAGTGCTGGGATTACAGGCATCCACCATACCCAGCATTCTTACGTTCATACAAGAAAATGTTTAAAGTGATTTTGGAGCTTTTTTTTTTTTTTTTGGTTCAAGGGATCAAACTCATGACCCAGTGCTTGGCGGGCAGGCACGTATGCTGCTGAGCTAAATCTCCAGCCCTTTTGGGGCTTTTTTGTTTTCATGCCACCAGAAAAGCTGTTCATTTTCCGTGGTATGCTTGAACATTTCTTTATACTATGTTGTGTGTTCACCCTGAAGCTTGAGGGTACCATGAAACTCTTGACTTCAGTTTTTCCCCTCAGCTCTTTTTTTTAATTTAAAGAAAGACTAAACAAAACAGAAAATGGGTAGAAATAATACATAATTTCAAGGAAAACATAAACACTAAAAATCATTAGTTGATGATTACAGATTGTCTCCTTACAAATAGTTATTGAAGATACTAAAGTGGAGCTTATAAAATGGGGCTTCAAACAGTGAGATTGCAACCAGTTCTGTTCAGCTATCCAACAAAAACTTAGAAAATATGGTTATCAACCCCACACACTTAAACATACATGCAGTTATCCATCTCTTCAATTATGCTGAGATTGAATAAACCCAAGCAGGCTAATATCACTCTGAACAAAGAATAATACTATTGCTGGGTTTCACATTATGACACTCCAGGATCGGCACTTGGTATTTTAGTGTCTCTTTTTCTTCAAAGTTTCTGTTCATTTCATCATGTGTCATATGTTCAGTTCTCAGACACTGTTTATAGATTCTACACATGCATGAGTCTTAACATGTATTTCTATCCTTTTTTTATTAGAGGGAGAAACAAAACAAAGCAAGGCAAAACAAAACATATTCCTATAAACACATGAAACAAAAAAAAAAATATAAGACCATTGTACAAGTCATTCTACCATAGTTTCTGTGTTGTCTCTTGTTATCTCCAATAGAACTGGCTATATCATCAGACATAGTATGATTGAATATGTCAGTACATAACAGTATTAATAAACACACAACTTTGTATATAGAATAGAACTCCAAAAACTGGCAGTTATCAACCAGAATGTATATCATAGAGCCTTGTCATCTTCAGTGTAGTTGCCTATACTGTCAGACTTGATATTATCAATCATATCAGTTTTGAATAAAACCTTCTCTGCCTCATTTCTGTTTTGCTCTTTTTTTGCCATCAGTTGTCTGTTTATCTTCTTCATTCTGTTTTCTGCTCCATTCATTGAGGCCTCTCTGCCACTGTTCCTGGAGTCCTAGTACTTTTCTCTCTCTCTAGAATGCCCTGGAGTATTCTCTGTAAAGTTGGATTGGTGGTTGCAAATTTCCCAAGTTCCTCTTTGTGTTGGAAGCATCTTGTTTCTCCATTAATTTCTAGAGACAGTTTATTGGGGTATATCAATCTGGGTTGGAAGTTATTTTCTTTCAGGGCTTGGAATATTTCGCTCCAGGCTTTTCTTGACTTGATGGTTTATGTCGAGAAGTCTGCCGTTATTCTGATGGGCCTCCCTCTATAGGTTATCTGTTTTCTGTCTCTAACAGCTTTTAATATTCTGTTCTTACATTGAATTTCTGGGACCCTGATTATTATATGCCTGGGTGTAGCTCTGTTTTGGTTGTAGGTGGCTGGAGTTCTATATGCCTCATATATCAGAATATCATTTCTTTTTCCTATGTTTGGGAAGTTTTCCTTAATTATTTCTGTGAATAAACTTTGTAGTTCCTTTGTTTGCATCCCAGCTTCTTCACTTACATTCTTTATTCTCAAGTTATAGATCCTTTTGTCATCTTCTAGCCTTTGTATTGTTACTGCTTGTTTCCTTGTTATTTTAAAAAAGTTTTCCCTTTCATACTCCCACATTGCAAAATTGTCCTCCAGTTTGGATAATCTACCCTTAGTTTCTTTCAAGCTGATTTGCCATCTTTCCATAGAGTTTTTAATTTCTAGTGATCTCTTTGAATCTGCTTCATGTATTCTATATTTGTATATTCTTCTCCAAATGGTTCTCTCCTGTGTTTGAGTTCCTCCCTTCTTCTGTCTGTGTCTGCCTGAGGAGTGCTTGGTATCTCTTTTATTAATCTTCTTATAGCTTGCTTTATTGGCTAAATGTTTCACTTTTGAATCATCTATGAGGTCCCGAATGTATCTCTTTATGTTCACTGGTGCTGTGTCTGATATTGCATGTTTGCTGTTCTCATTCTCCTTTGTATTTACCTGTCCTGGGTCAGTGTTCTCAGGGTTGGGGCCTGGGGCTTTTTGTTGTTGCTTCATCTTCCCATCTTTTTGCTTCTTCCAGGAGGCCCCAGTTTCCTTCTTTATTGGTTACAATTCTTCTGAAGCGTGTTGGCTAGATGACCCTTCACACTGCAGTGTGCTAGTGAGTTGCAGACAGGAACAGCGTATTCTGGCTCCTCCCCTCCAGATCAGTCAAGCTGCTGTGGCCTGCACTGCTGTATTACTTTGCGTGGCCTCCCTCCAGACCAGCCAAACCTCCGAGGCCCCACTGGGCCAGTGTGGTTAGAGTGCGACACCGCTGCAGGGACTTGACCTCAGATAACATATTGGGTCTCAGCCGGTTCAGGTGACCCAGGCCTAGCTCACTCCACCAATCCTGTTCAGGAAGGGGACAATTGACTGAAGTCACTGCTGCCCCTTGTACTTGCCAGTCCTGCCAGATCCCAGAATGTCATCCACCAGAGCCCCCCTATTTATGGGATGGCTCCACTCCCGTCACTCACCACAGGTCGATGGAGGTTCCCCGTCAACTCAGCTCTCCGTGCAGCTCGCTGACCTTCCAACTCATCGTAACTGTGACTCCAGTGAGTCGAAGCAACGGGACCTCCAACGGCTTGGCAAGTCACGGCAGGACCCTGGCCAGTGGCGGTGGAATTCCGGCAAGGCTTGGTGGGGACCTGGCAAGGTGTGGCAGGGACCCGGCAAGCCTCGGCAGGGACCCGGCAAGGCACAGCAGGACCCAGCAGGGCACGGCGGGACCCAGGTAAGTCAGGACGGGACACTGGCAGAAGGGCCCCAGCAAGTCACAGCATCAGCCAGTCGCAACAGGACCTCAGATGGTTGGCAAGTCACCTTAATTTCTTCTTGGGATGAGAGAATTCATCTCCCTCTGTTTGGGGCTCCCCACTCTGTATTATGTTGAATTCTAAGTTGACTATCTCATGGAGCTTCCGTAGCCAGTTGTTATCTATCCGCCATCTTTGCTCCAGGATCTCCCTCAGCTCTTTAAGCTGATTTTTTTTTCCCTAGAACACATTGAATCCCAATTTTACCTAAAACATAGTGGATGGCTTTGCTAAGCCTCCTCTGATAGTTACTGCCTCACATTGGCCATTGGAAGGTTAGATCAGGGATCTCGGTTCAACACACCCACAATGAGGCCAGAATTCCCATGGCTAGCTGCCGGCAAGCTCCCATTTGAATGGGACACACACGTCCCCCTGCTAGGGGGACACACAGGATAGTCCCATTAGGTGGTATGGACAGTCCTGCATGCCCTGCAGTGGTTCATGCCAGTGGGAATTTGTTAAGCCCCAGCAATACATGCCCACGTGTGCCATCTGGAAGTCAGGCATTTGAGTCAGCAGGCATTTTTGAGAAGGACTTGATGGATGGGGTCAGCTTCCTTGACAGCTCAGGGTAGAAGCCACGCTCCACGGTCCTGAACCAAGTCTTAGCCTCTGCGATGGGGCAAGGAGGGACACGACTCCTGCTTCCCCATCCCTCTTGCATGGTCCTGTGTCTCTGTGGAGTCCCCAGTCCACAGGGACCCTTGCATGTGACTTTCAGCTAGAGCAGGAAGCTGAAGATCAGAAGAACTTGCATGCTGAACTCAGCGAGGAAATTAGATCCTTAGAGAAGTCTCAGAGGCATCTGGAAGCCGCTCTCGCTCATAAGGATGATAGGATCAGTGTAAGTTATCCTGGCCAACCCAGCCTGTTCATGAACACTCGGGAAACACACTCACTGTGAGGAAGGAGAGGCTTTTAACTGCCTCTTGCTTCTCTGCTAGGCTCTGACCAAATGCATCATACAACTGAATCAGTTTGAGAGTGGATCTCCAGGTCCAGGCAGATGTGAGCCAGGTGAATTAGCCAATGCAGAAGTGGGAGGTAAGACCGGCCCTAGCCCAAGGGCCTTTTTTTTTTGAACCAGGGATCAAACTGGACCTAGTACTCACCAGGCAGGTGCTTGTGCCACTGAGCTAAATCCCCAGCCCTTCAAGGCCCCTGTTTTTGTCTTCTTCTCTTTACTATGATTTTAAACAAGGCCTGTATGTAGTGGCTGGTCTTGAACTCACTGTGTAGCCCACACTGGCCTCAAACCCACAGCAAATCTTCTACCTCAGCCTCCTAAGCCTTCTTGTCTTTAATTCCATACACGGATGCTGCTTCTCAGCTGACTTTCCTCTTGCCCCGACCCATGCAGCTCTTTAGGTTCTTAGTGTGAAGGACCACGAGAGGATGAGAAAATAGACAGACAAATCTGGGGTCCTGTGGAGCCCTTACCCTCCTGATGGGAAGAAAGGAACTGGTCCCTCACTGCAGGGGTGTTCATTTATACCTTTTAGCAACTTAATGTCATGTGACACCCTGTTGTCCTAGCAGCCCACTGTTCAGATTGTCTTGGGTCTTGGTGTTCTCTGGGCTGAGGTAGCTTCTTCACGTGGCAGCCCCAGGGGCTCATTGTTCTTGGGACAGCCATGCCCTGGCCCCGCACGTGTGGTCGGTTTCCAGCCTCCACAGCTGCTCGGACCAGAAGGGTCCTTCCCGCAGAGCCGAAGTGCCAGTCCCACCTGGGTGCTCACCCGGGCCACCGCAGGCGTGTGGCAGTGGGAGAAGGGAGGTCAGAGTGTAGTTGAGCTGTGCTGAGCCTCAGTTTCCCTTATCTATAAAGTCTGATGCATCACTCGGCTTCCTGGCTCAGGGGAAGGGAAACGCTTTGAGCAGACTTGGGTTGCTCCTCAGGACGTGTCCGCATGTCCCTCTTGCTTTCCAGTCCCATGCATGGGCCCACCACTGGGCTTCAGAGAGTACGCGCCCGGCATGCTGCCCGGACGCCGCGACCTGCTGCTGCATCCCTGCGAGTTCTTGCCAGGACCTGTGCCATTCAGGCCTCCAGGCCCACTCGGCCCCCGAGAGTACTTCATTCCTGCTCCTCGAAGGCCACCACCGCCCACCAGGCCCCAGGACTACCCACTGCCGCCTGCCGCAGGGGGGCCCCTGCTCTCGGAGCCCAAAGAGGCCCCAGCCTCGCCGCAAAGCAGCCGAGAACCTGCCCACACTCTGAGGCAGAACGCATAATGGCCCCACTAATCAGAGGGCCAAGGTTTTTATTGGTTTTGGAGGCCCAGTGCATTTTATCTAATATAGCATAGCTAAGTGTAAAATGATTAAGAATGTCATAAAAGTGACTATTTCCTGTGAAATGCTCTAAGAACACATATTTCCATGACTGTTGTTTAGTGTACCAGCTGAATACAGAGCCGTGGTATTTATAAGCTTTACCCCTCCTGCCCCATCCTGGTCAAAAAGACTGTTACTTAAAGATGTCTGTTCAAAGGTCACCCGTTATCCCCTCCCGCCCTGCTCATGTCCTTTGTAGTAATAGCTAATAAAAACTTGTTTGTTAATACTCCCAGCCTCCCCTGTCTCACTGCTTGCTGTGAGAGCTGCTGGAACTCTGGCTCCCTGGACTGGAGGTGCCAGGCTTGCAGCTTGCAGGCTGTGTCACTCAGTGGGGAGCCCATGACCTCTGACCCCACCGGTGACTGCTGGCACAAGAGGAAGAGTTTACAATAGAAACAACAATCCTTTGACCTCAGGCTCTATTATTTTTCTTTTACCGTGATTGCTATAACAAAAGTAAAGTAGTGTCATGATTGTAAAAGTAAATTTCTTTATAAAATGCATGTCTTTCTCACATCCTACAACGGACTTTCAAGGAACAGGAACCAAAAAGTGGGAAGAATATAATAACATAACCTGAGAAAAAGTGATTGAGGAGCGTGAGGCTTCTACCCTGCTTGCGGTCAGCTGCACAGCTATAGGCTGAGCTCCGTTTTGTCCTGGCAGGTGCTGCCCTGAGGTTGGTGTCAATGCCAACCCATGACGTCTCCGAAGATGCAAGTGGGCCTGCCACACCAGTGGGGGACCTGTCACTACACTGTCTGCGTACTTTTCTGAGGCTTCACTCTGCAAACACTAAGCACAGTAATTTTTAAAAGCGCTTTCTGAATCAATTTTACTGGTTTGGTTTCTGACCTAAGAGCAAGCCTAGAAAATAACTTACAACTAATCAGATAGTGAGCTGATTCCAAACTTTGGCCAAAAGATGCTCAAAGCCTCACAGTCATTTCTGAGCTATAAAACAATATACTAAAAAAGAAAAAGAAAACAAAGAAACTTAACATACTGCTTTTAGTTTTTGCTTCAGAGACTTATTTTCATGTCAAAAGGGAAGGGTGAGAATCTTTCCCATCTGATCTCTAATGATTGGCACTTTTTTCTTTTTGGGTACCAGGAACCGAACACAACCTTTTGCTTGGCAGGAAGGAGCTTATACACTGAGCTAAATCCTTGGCCCAGGAGGTGCTTTTTGTAAACAAAAGAAATTTATGTTTCTCTGCAACTCACAGCGAACCCTCCACCTGCACAAGGTGCTATTTTCTGTCTGGTTCTCCAGTGGCACTTGATGGGGATGCTGGGTGTGGGGAACCAAGGTCTCCAATGTTTCTTCTGCTCTTGGTTTTTCGGAGAGTTTAAAAAGAGATCTAAGCTGGATGTTGTGGCACACACCTGTAATCCCAGCTCGGGAAGGTGAGGCAGGAGTGAGTTCAAGGCCAGCCTACGCTACCATACTGAGTCTAGACCTGCATAAACTACATAATGACACACTATCTCAAAACAAAATATTTCTGATCCAAAACGCTTGTGGAGCACAGTAGTGTAAACTGCACATTTAATGTTAAGGTCAGGCTCCAGGGGAAGCTGGGATTATACAAGGCCCCTTGAGCTTTGGATTACTGTGACGCTCTCCTATCCCTTCCTTCATTTCGGGATGACCTTGGGGAGCCCAGAGTCCAGCCTCACAGCTGTCTCTGTGTGAGATGAACCTCTGCCTCATGTACACACACACATACATTCACACTGCCTCTGAAGTCAGGGAGACTCAGCTTGAAGGCGATGAAGGAATCCTTCAGGAAAAGAACGCCATCCACCAGCCTCCATCTCAGTTCATGTCAGGAGACCACCACGGACTCCAGCAACACCATTGGCTGTCCTCAACCCAAGCACAGAGGCACAGAATCACCAATGTGCCCTCTGAATGTGATCTGTCAACCTCTTTGCGACCCACAGTCCACTTCCACTTCTAGATAGCCTGTAAATAGTGTGCGGCCAGGAACCAGGCATGGAAAGTTTTTTTTCAAAACATGCCAATTGGGGTAAATCTACATTTTTATTCGGAATTACCCTCCTGTGCAAAGCCCTATGGGTACTTCATCCTGCCTCCACCGGCAGCCAGGTCTGGAGGCCCCAGAAGGCCCAGCAGTCAGGGCCGGCCTGTCGTCATCACCACATTCACCCACCGCACCCCGCGTGGCAAAGGATGCCAGGGTAGGCAAGGCACGGCGGGCCAAGCAACCCACCCTCGGCAGCACCTCTACGTGAGAAGTCAGTTTCTGGCTTCTTCCGGGTTTGCCTGCCACCTGCCTCGCTGAGGGTGCACCCTGGGCTGGCTGCCCTCGCTGGAGCGCGAATTCCGGCGCCCGATGATGCGCACTCACTTTATGACACCTCGCCGTCTGCAGCCCAGCTCTGCTGAGCACATGCTGCCCCACCCCGCCGACATGTTCAGTGTGCAGGACCCAGCTCTGCCCTGCTGCAGGACCCAGCTCTGCCCTGCGCCTTGCAGCCCGCAATGAAGGAGCATGACACAGCCAATCAGCTACATTTTAATAATGGGTTCCCAAGCTTATGTTTTTAGGTCTCAACAACATCAAATCAAAGGAAGTGAGGACCCCACAGGGCAGAGACTGCACCACGCTCCTCAGAGGGCGTGTGGAGACAACACCGATGGCTTTCGCTCCACCCCGGGGAGCCCACAGCCTGGGGATCGGCCGACACTTGAGCGTTTAAGAACTGCGTGAAAAAAAAAGCAACTTATTAAGGCTAGTTGTCATCCCCTGGAGGTACTGTGGACTGGATCGCTGTGGTGGTTGCCTTTTATCCCCGCAAGATGAAAGGCAAGGCTGAAGTGGGCTAAGCATTCTTCCAGGCCCTCCCATTTGGTCAGCACCCACCCAGTGAGTGGAGGGCCTCACGGGCACCAGAGTGGAGCAGAGCTCTGAGGCACGTGGGCCACGGTCACCTCAGTCGGAGGCAAACACACTGAACAGCGTGAGCAGGGTCAGGACACGAGCTTCACACAGGCAGGAACCAGGGGTGCACCCTTACGCACCATGGGTTTAAAATAGTGAATATCAAAATCTCAATTGTGTGTGTCTAGTATTTACCTCATGTGTGCTATGAAAGTTTCATTTATGCCTCTTAATTCCAATGTAATGTAAACCGTCAAAACTGTAAAACACTGCTGACCTACGCATTTTTGTATGGATGAATGCCAATATATCTAAACAGGAAATAAATGGCAATCCTAGCTACTTAAATTAAAAAAATTTAAAATGTCTACTGATTTTCCATACTCATCACTAAGAAAAGGTATGCAGCTTTGAAGTTTCACAATCACTTGTCAGATAAACAGCGTTTATTCCTGCAGTATCTCATTTGTACTGGACACAGTTATTTTCAGATGACAAGACTTAAGACACTGTAAACCCATCTAAAAAGGTGTGTTTATTGAGATGCTTCCAATATTAACTCTAAAATCATCAGAAGAAATAACAATGTGATGTAAAATAGGTAATCAACATGATTAAAATATGTCACTTTCAGAAAAATAATCTGGTTATCTGGGGAAAAAATCACAGCCACCACTTGGAGACACTGATTTAGGCAAGGCACACTATTCCACACGGAACATCAGAGCCGGAAGTCCAGCAGCCCGTCCCACTCGGGGGGCCTCTCCACACAGCCCGGCCCCAGGGAGCAGGAGTGTAAACTCAAGCACATTCTTGTTGCTGGGTGGGGTCTGAAGATGAGCATGCCTCCCACAACAGCACTGTTCTGGGAAGCCGGGTAGGGGCAGAGGCAAATTATAAAACAGACTATGGATAGCACACTTAACAGAGAAGAGCATGTTCCCACACCTACAGTAAGCCTAGGCCCAAAGGGGACTTGCTCTGCAACACGCCAGACTCGGTTCCACACTGTGGCCATGCCAGGTACTCAGTGGCCTGCTGGGTGGGCACGGCCCACTTCCTGCCCAAGAGAGTGAAGATCCTACTGAGCTGTGGCACTTGCTACTGGCTGGTAAGATTCACAGGAGTTCCAGGGTGCTCAGGTAAGGATCAGTCCTTGTGCAAAGTTTGATGCAGGTGAAGATAAAGTGGTTTCTTGGTAATAACTAATTTTTTTCTTTTAAAGTCACTGGGTTTCCTGTAGCTGTAATCACAAAAGACAGCATTGTTTAGAATACCTGGTGACTGATCTGCAAGGTCATCCAACAGGGAAGTGGGGCTGGGAGGACACCTGAGAGCAGCGCTCAGCCATCCACACGCCACTTACACAGTTCAATCACAATCAGCCTGGGTTTGAGCTCATCCATCTCCATGAAGGTGAAGCACTTGGTGCTGGTGAACCTCTTCTTGGGCTTGAAGTGCTTGAATTCAAAGAAGACGGCTGCACCTGAGGGGGGAAACACAGAAGCTGGTGAACCATGGCCAGCTCGTCCTCCTGGATCCATGTGTTCTCACTGACCACCGCAGGGAACAGAGGGACAGGCAGGATTTGACAAAGTGACCTGTGTCCAGTGTGGTGCAGTGCTGCGACTCTAACCTAGTGGCAGCCCCCAAACTGCTGCTGGGTCCAAGCGCTGCTTCTGACCGCACCACCTCGCTGTATGAGCACAGCCAGGTCTCTGAGCCAGGCTGACCCGAGTCAGTTACTTGCATAAGCGCAGTCACTGAGGAGTATAGATGTCAAATACAAGAAGAGGAACACGAAGGCGTCACAGCTCAGCAGAGCCCAAAGCACTGTGTAACACATGCAACAGGCATTAGAGAGTTTCTCACAGTGAAGCATCTCTTTCTCCTCAAACAAAATTCTCCAAATTCAGTATTTTTGAGGCTGGGATTTGAACTGTTTATCCCGTTCTAATTTTTCCAGTAAACACGAGTCTGGCCGGCAGCAGCACTGCACTCTAGTGAACACTGAACACGGAAACGTAATCTGGGTGCTTCAGAAATGTGTGCTGTCTTCACCCAGCTTCCCACCAACGACCTGCCAGGGCAGCAGCCCCAGGACAGGCCAGTGAGGCCATAAGGACCTGCAGAAGTGCCCTCTGTCCTGCTGTCAACGTGAGGAGACCTCCCACTCTGCTGAAGAAGGCAATGAAATCTCACATCAAGGAGCATTTCCAGGGTGTTTCCTGGATCACGTGATTCCTAGTTCCCACGATTTTACAAAGTACTCACAGATTCAACTTTCTCAAGTTAGTGTCTCCTGACACCCACGGGACACAGCTCTGCCAGGCACGACCTGTGCCGCATGCACCACACCGTGCTCAGACACCAGGGTGTGCCAGCCGGCCAGATCCCCGCATCCCACAGATACCTTTGGTCAGCTTCTCCACATGCTTCTGGAGCTCAATGTCCACGTTGAAATGGACATATGTGTCCTCCTTTCTTGAAGCCACAGGCGTGTCCTGCACAGGCATCAAATCTATGCCGTTCAGATCTAGAGAAATACAGGTTTCTATGTCAGGACGCTTGCAGGCACACACTGAGTGTCAAGAAACCACAGAGGCCTGCAGGGGCTCCTGGAGAACAGACTCCCACTTGCTGCTGGTGTGCAGGAAACTGCATGGGTCGGGGCAGGAGACTTCTGGAGTAGGGAGCACAGCCTGCCTGGCCCGATGAGTGCAGAGCAGGAGGCAGACATGGCATGGTCTGCACGGTTAAGAGCTGATGCCCCTAAAGGACAGCCCACCACTTCTGGTGCAATAAAAACCTGCAGTGCATATGATTTGTGAAAATGTAGCTCTGTCCCTAATTTCTAATATTGATCACGTACATGACTTGGAAAGAGCTTTATCATTTTCAGAATTTTTTGTTATATTTCAGTCAAGAACCAAAAATGGACATGAGAACACTAACCCTAAACCTAAACCTAACCCTAACCCTAGAAGCCAGAGGTTATAGAAATTTGAAGAGGTTCTTTCTTGTAATCAATTTCTGCCAGATATTACAGCAGAGATTTAGGGCCTTTCTTTCCTGCAGGCATCTTGGGTGTCGTTGATCATACGTGCAGGGATATTTTGTGTGGGGAAACTAGTGAGGTCGGCTGTAAGGGCTTCTCCAAAGAGGTTAAACAAGCTTTTGAACCCCTGGGAAGTTGAGTCCAGATCAGTTGAGATTTGAGTTCAGAACTGGGATTTTGCCATTTAAAGGTGAAGAAGGGTTGGCTGACAGGAGCCAACTGAAGACAGAGGAAAACATTCAATCATGGTAACATTTGGCAGCTCAGAGGTCCTGAACTGGTTTTACAGGAGGAGGGATTCATTTTAGCAGTTGACAGTCTAGAAACCTGAAGCCTCATTTATTCTTTCATTCTTGGGTAACCATGACGGTGTTGGAAGTGACAGAGAGCCAGGCCATCTCAAGGAAAAGGTGCTGGTGGCTTGGCTGTTGCTAGAACCTCCCTGAAAATAATGGGAATTTCCCAAACATTTGTAGCAATTGAGTTCAGATGAGTTGGTATTTTTATTAGGCATCATTTTTTTTCTTTTCATTTTCAAGAAGAATATAATGGGTTGGGAAACACAGTGCAGAGTTGTGGTGGTGGAGTTGATGTCCAGGTGGGAGGTAAGTCTTTGATCTTTATCTCTGGAAGGAGAGTTTACAGAATTTCAGGATTATGGTTATCTGCCTCAGGCTGATGCAAGCATCAGCTTCTTCCTGGGGAAAGTGCGGGGTTGAAAGAGAGAGAGGCTGACTGGCTTGGTGCAAAGAGATGGTCACTTTTAATTTGAAGAGGAGGTCTCTTCTCAGATAATAAGAGGACTCTCTGATATAAGAATTCATGTTTGTTATTCCAGGCTCTAAGGTTGTGCTTGGCATAAAAGACAAGAAGCAAGGGTCTCATAGCCCTTGTGGTAGTAAATTTTTGACTGAAGGGACTTTTGAATGCAGGGACATCATTTCTGTAAACCACCACAAAAGTCATAGATTGATACCAAATATAGACATGGAAGCTTTTGAGAGCCTTTATCTCTTAATCAGAAAGGAAAATTATTTTTTAATGTCCATAGTACTTATACCAGGCTTCTGGGTAACACTGGTAACGTTTGACATGTTGATGGGCTTTTTGTTCTCCTTATTTGATGTTCTTGAAAAACACTTGACTGATATATAGCTTCTTGATGTGGTAATTTTTGGGAAAGATCATGCAAGCTCATTCATAAGAGCTGACAGTCCAATTTTTCCTTGTCGAAATGTGGAACTCAGAAGGAGTTGCTGACAGTCATCTCGAGTGGGCATTAGATGACATCATGTGATCATGATGGGCATGTCTGGAGCAGGGGTTCATGGACAAATGCAGGTAATGACTGATCAAACTGCAACCCGTTCAACTGGCTGGCAGCAGATGTGTGGAAAGGGTTGGCAGGGACTGTGGTAGCAGACAAAGGTGCCGAAGTGGAATTCTCAGGAAGAATGGGCCTTTTCCCCTTTTATTTGTTTGAGTTGTTTGGTTTCATTTTAAACTCTGTACTCTCAGAAAGGCCCTCTTTTCCTGCAGTCAGAGACTGTGAGTTTTGACTAATTAGTTCTCATTTCTGGCTCTCTGCACGTGTTGTGTTCCCCTGAACAATGACGTGATGGACAAATGGTGGGTGCCCCTCAGCAAGAGACTATTTGAACGCTGACCCGGTGACACTGCTCACAGGGACTTAAGGAGGGGGCAAGGCAGCTGTTATGCCATATGTTAGTCATATGTTTTTACAGTATGCATCACAGTGACCAGCTGTTTCTAGGAGACAGTAGTAACAGGAACTGGAACAGGAACTTTTACCTGAGCAGCTAACAGACTGGCTGGGGGCATTTTCTGTTACACTCAGATCTCATCCACTGATGACTTCCCCATCAGAGGTCTTCCCTGAACACCTCAGCTAAACCAGCTCACACATCGATCACACTCCTGATTTTACCCATTTGGGGAGTGAATCCAGGGCTGTCACACCAGACCCCACACCCCCAGCTTTTTTATTTTGAATTTTGACAGGGGTTCCTGCTAAGTCATTAAGGGACCAGGCTAGACTTGAACTTCCCATCTTCTTGTCACAGGCTGTATGTGAGTGTCCTGGATGCTGAAATAAACACCTTAGCCCACCCCTTTCCAAATATATGTGGAGGGCACTGTTCACCGTTGAGGAAAAACAATTTTCAGGGTGTGCCCCAAAAAGGAGACAGAGAAGGACTCATTAGAGGGGATCCTGGGTGCACATAGTGTAGGGTGCGGGTGCTCAAGGAAACAGGTGGCCTATGGCTGGAAACTGGGAATCCTTTATGGGTTTGGAGAGTTGGAAACCTGTGGAAAACCAGTGATCTAGAGTCTGTCTCACTCTCAGTCGTGGAGGGTGAGAGAGGGTGGCCTGACCTGGGTGAGGGATCCCTAGGGCAAATGCCAAAAGCACAGTCCTTTCCTCAGTGGTAGAGGCCCCGGGGGAGAGTTAAAGGGAGCTGGCAGACCTGTTGTGTGCTGAAAGGGAGTTGCCCAGGTTTGCTGTCTGGGGAGAAGGCAGTCTTTCTTGTAAATAGGTTTTGAACTGCTTTCCCTTCTGGTCTCGTCTCCACCTCACCTTTTATTTCCTCTGTCCTGCCTCGCTCCTGCCTCAGCCTCCCAGAGTGCCAGTAGGCCCGATGCACACTACACTCCTGGCTGGCTTCATTTGCCTTACAGACCTCTCCCCCAGCGAGTCCTTAGATGCCCACCGTGTGTTCCCTGCAGAACACAGGCCCCAGGTGGGGCTCTGGACCCTGCGTGCCAACCCCACAAGGCTCAGAGTTGTTCCTCAAGGCCCATTTGCTGAAGGTTGGAGCCAACAGTGGTGTTTCCCAAGCAGAGGCAGGCGGACTCCCAGCAGGGCCCACAGAGGCGCGGGAGTGGGGTGGGGTGGGAGGGAGCAGCTGGTCCAGAAACAGCAGGTGGCAGTGGCCTTGTGGGGGGAGCCACCTGCATGGCTTCACTTTCAGCCAGGTCAAGGGGGCAAAAGTAGCAGCAGGTGAAGGGAGGGAACACCCCTAGAAAGGGGAGAACCAAAGTACAAAGGAGGCTGGGTGTGGGGTGCAGGCCTGCAATCCCAGCCCTCTGAGGCTGAGGCTGGTGCGTTGTGAAGGTCTGAGGCCGCCTCGACTACACAGTGAGTTCAACGCCAGCCTGAATTACAGAGTGAGACCCTGTGTCAAAAAATAAAAACAACAACGTAAAGCTGCGGGGCAGGATGGGCCGGCCAGCACAGCCCCAGGCTGCTTCTGTGCCCTTATTTTCCTGTCCACCGAAAGACTGCCTGCTATTCTGAGGTCTTGAGTTTGAGAAGACTTTTGTTTTGTTTTGGGTACCAGGAATTGAACTCAGGACCCCACGCTTGCCAGGCAGGCGCTGTGCCACTGGGCTAATTCCCCAGCTGTCAGATGTTAATAATTGTTTGTAGGTTTGAATTTTTTAAAAATTAAAACATGTCAGAATGAAGTCCCAGCATGTCACAAGACTCCAGGGCCTGGTGACATAGAGGCCCCCGTGGAGGAGGCCTCTGGTCCCCATGGAGCTGCTGTCAGCTCACAGATTTGGCTCCATCTGCATGGACTCAGTCTTCTCTACCAGGCAACCTAGTGCAGGGCGTGGTCACACACACACCTCTGATTCCAGCTTCTCAGAAAGCTGAGGCAGGAGGATCTCAAGTTTGAGATCAGCCTGGGCAATTAAGATCCTGTGTCTCCTCCCCCAAAAAAGCAAATAGAAATGGCCAGAGATGTTGCTCAGAGGTGGAGCCCATGCCTGGCATGTGTGACACCCTGGGGTGAACCCCATCCAGGGTTCGGGGAGGGTGGCCAGTGGTCACACTGAGGTCGCAGACCACCCAGTGACCTGAAGCTCTGAGTACCTTGACTGTTGTCGGTCAGGAGGCAGCCGTGGCTCTGACCCGCTGCTCTGGATCATGGCTGATACAGGATGTATCTGTATAAGTCAGATTAGTCTTGAACTCAATATGCAGCCACCAGCTTTTCACTGTTAGTGATTCTCCTGCCTCAGCCTGCCGAATGCTGAGCTCATGGAGTCAACCACCATATCGGCCTATTGATCACTCTCATCTTTTAAGTTTGTGATCAGTAATTGGCTGGAGCTTTGCTACTCAGCTTGAACCTACCCCATAAAACTTCTCAAACTAAGGCCGGGGATTTAGCTCAGTGGCCCTTTCATTCCAGTGTATCTCACAGTAATCATGAATGTCATGACGCCTCACCTCTGAATGTATCCACCCGAGTCTCCTAAAAACAAAGGCAAAAGGGCATTTTCTTACATGACCACAATGCCACTACCCCCACATCCCACAAAATCAACAGCCACTTCTAGTGTCCTCTTACTGAATTCTTACCTAAGTGTCCCCTAAATATCTTTCACCACTGATTCGTTTGCACAGATTCTAAGCAAAGTCTGATTTTTTTCTTTTCTTTTTTTTTTTTTTCTTTCTTTCTTTTTGAGACAGGGTCTCACTCTTGGCTGACCTCAAGAGTTGTTTTACTTTTTTTTTTGGATTTTTTTTTTTTTGTCTTTTTGAGACAGGATCTCACTACACAGTTCAGGCTGGACTTGGACTCACATTGTAGCCCAGGCTGGTCTCGAATTTGCAATGATCCCCCTGCCTCAGCCTCCTGAAGTCTCGGATTACAGGAGTGCCACCACACCTGGCCATTGGTTGACTTCAAACTCTCGGTTCTCCTCCTGCCTCAGCCTCCCTAGTCCTGGGATTATAGGTGTACGCCCTGACGTTTGGCCAGCAAGTTCTGTAGAGCAATGTTTCATTGACTTTCTGAAGGCAAATTGCTTTCTCTGTGGTGTCGTTTCCCTTGTTCTTCTACCCCCTTTATGTCCTACAAACGCACACACATGCACTGTATATACATATACATACTCTACACGCATACACAGTAAATGAGCGTGTACAGATCCACATGTGTACCCTTACATAATATATACACGTGTACATGTGTTTAGGTGCTGTTACAAAGAAGGCTCAGAATGCAGTAAGGCCGAAGCGTCACTCTTGCTTGGCGATCTCTCGATTTAGGGCTGTGCGTCCCTGGAGTCCGGTGTTTGGCGCTATGACGTCACTTCCGGCGGAAGTGCTGCTCCTGCGCCTTCTCCCTCTAGAGCAGGTGGAAGGGGGTGCAAGCTGCGGCCTCCATGCCACCTTCACCGGCGAGGCTGCCCTCGGGACCAGCCTTCCCTGACATGCCACCCTGGGTGGGTGTGAGGGAGGTGAGGGTCCAGCCCCGTCCCAGCGGCGGGAAGTCCGGCCCCGCAGCTGAGCTGCGTGTGCTGCGGTGCGAGGCTGCAGCTGAGGCCTGGCCGGTGGTCGCAGGATCTCGGCCTGGGATCTGTGGGGCAGAAGGAAACTCGAGAATCCCCCACCAGGTCAGGTTTTAGGGCCCAGCGGACCTAAGTCAGTCTGTTCTCCCCTCCTGAGTCCTCATATATTTTCTTTTTCTTTCTTTTCTTGAGACAGAGTCTTCATAGGTAGCCCAGGCTGGCCTTGAACTTGGAGCGATCCTTCTGCCTCAGCCTCCTGAGTGCTCGGATGACAGCCATGCTCCACCACGCCTGGCCAGTTTAATGTTTTCTGTGCAGTGCTCAGGCTTCAGTTGTGCTTTTCAGGAGGAATAGGGGAGAAAGGTGGGCTTTCCTATCCTGGAAGTTGCTTTCTTCCCGATGAACTTCACACTTAATATTTCAAATGGCCTTTAAAAATCCCACTAGAGCTGGGTGTGGTGGCACACGCCTGTAATGCTACCACTTGGGAAGTTGAGGCAGGAGGATTTTGAGTTTGAGACCAGCCTGTACTACTTAGTGAGACCCTGTCTCAAACCACCCTAAGTAAAATAAATATAAAAATCTAAAATTCCATTGGGATTTTGACAGATTAAATTTATTGATTAATTGGAAGGAAGAGTACCACCTAAGAAGAGATTCATTTCCTCTAAAACCAGTGTCTTGCATTTATTCATGCTGTATTTTATGCTTATATAGAAGATTCCTTACAACTTTTTGTTAGATTCATTCTTACACAGAAGATCCGTAAAAATTGTAAATTGCATGTATAACCTAGGACTTTTCAATTAGTGATTGTCAGGGACTGTAACTACTGGTTTCTGTGATGTCTTAACCACTTGTTATGGTTTGTGTCTGAAGGTCCCCCCAAAGCCTCATACAGTCATGGGCTTCTAAAATTTGTGATTGATTCATGGTCTAGTGCTGGGATTATGGGGGTGAGTGCTACACTCACCCTAGGATGGGTGTGGCCTACATGTAATGTAAGGCACAGAACGAGGATTCTTTTGCACTCCTCCCTTTTCTTCTTTTGCTTTTGTTGTCTTACGCCTCTGTGAACTGTTGCCCTTGTGCCATCCTGCCTTGGAGCCAGCTGAGTATGGCCTGAAACCTCCACAAACTGTGAGCGAAATAAATCTCTCCTTTAATTTTGGGTGTTGGATATTTTGTCCCAGCCCCATGCCCCAGCTGCCCACTTCCATCTCCATAGTCACAATGTGTGTGTGTGTGTGTGTGTGTGTGTGTGTGTGTGTGTGTGTGTGTGCATGCACGCACTTTGAGACAGGGTTAAGCTATGCAGTGCAGGTCTTGAAATCACTATGGAGCACAGGCTGTTTGCAAATTCACAGAGATCCTACTGTCTCAGCCTCCTGAGTGCTGGGATGACAGGTGTCACCATTGGCTCCAGTTCATCTGCCCCTTTGGTCTAAATTGGTCACAGTGGCACAGACTCATCAAGAACTGCAGGGAGGGCCTCTGCATCTGACCCCTTGCCCCAATGAGTTCCCTGTGTCCCCTGTCCCTACTGGTCCCTGCCTCAGTTTCCAAAAGTCCGCCAACTGCTTAGCCCTGGCTTACCCACCTTGGAGTGCTCAACCCCTTCCCTTGGGTGTCACCTCCACCATCTGTGCTGAGCCAACATCACTGGCGACTTATGTGTCCCACCCCTGCAAACCGGGGTCCTAGGATGTGGAGCTGGCCTGGTCCACCTTTGTGCCCAGGCTCTGCACACCCCCAGATTGCAGTCAGCATCGGCACTGCCCATGCCCACAACCTACAAACCTGTGGCCCCCGGAGACACTGTCTGACTGTGGCCTGTGGGCTCCAGGCCCCTTCAAGATGCAACCATGTTTCTCAGAGTCTTCGTCTCCCACAACACCAGCCTCAGCCTCTGCACTGCTGCCCAGCTCTGGGCCCACCTTCTGGAAGTGGCTGAAAGAACCAATATGGTATACACCAGCTACTCCGGAGGCTGAAGCAGGAGGTCCCAAGCTCGAAGCCAGCATGGAGAACTTGGTCAAATCTTGTTTTAAAATAAAAATAATAAGGGCTGTAGTTGTAGCTCAATAGCCAAACTCTTGCCGAGCATGTGCAAGGTCCTGGGTTCCATGCCCAGCACCATTAACAAAACAAAAACGAACAAATTTGTGACTGTGACCCTTTGAGGTCCCATAGCAGTGCAAAGGCCCACGGGGGAGCCCAGAACCGGGAACGCAGAGCAGCTGTGTGGCCTCAGGCAGGTTGCTCAGCTTTCCCATCTGTAACATAGGGGAGGAGCGTACTTAGCTCCCGGGGAGCTGCGAGGAGACGGTAACATTTATAAAGTACAGAACGGCTGCTCCTGTATACAGCGTTAGGCTTTGTGTGTAGAAATTCCATCTTGGGACCCCAGAACCTTTTATGTCCTTAACAAAGGACTCTCCCTCCTTGGGTCTCTGGGTGGACTACTTGGGTGGACCGAGTGAAATTCTTCTAGCATCCACAAGAGGGCCCCCCAGTTCCCCCGCTGGAGCCCGAGACTCCTGGCTGCCTCCTGATTCTCCTGTAGTTGGTTATCAGCACCACTGTCAAGGCCACAGGGGCCTGTGCCTGCCGATGCTGTCGCCCTTGATGGTCTGCAACTCCTGCAGAAGCCGGGCGCAGTGATACACGCCTGAGGCAATAGGGTCGCCTGAGCTACACAGCGAGACCATGTCACCAACAGCAGTGACAACCACTGGACATCGGGGTCAGGGGAGCAGCAGAGCCAGAATGGACTCTAAGGCTCGTGTCCACCCTCCCAAAGTCGGGGGCCAGAGGAAAAGAAAAGGCCTGCCGCCAGCCCCTGTGAGGGCATGGGCGGAGGTGGTCGGGGACACGCGGCCCCTGGGGGTGCAGCAGGGCCGGGGACCTGGAGGCACCGCGTGTCTACGTCCTCCCCATGCACTGGCTCTCCGTTGCTAGTCTGCACCCCATTCGCAAGCCCAGACAGGGACAAGGTCTGGGGACAGGAAAGGAGCTCCCGGGCCCCTTTCTGTCTTCCTCCTCCTCTTTTCTCTTTCCTTTGTTTTTCCTTTTCTTCTCTTTCTTTCTTGCTTGCTTTCTTCTCTTGTTTGAGGCAAGCTCCTGCTATGTAGCCCAGGCTGGCGTCAAACTCACAGCGATCCTCTTGCCTCAGTCTCCTGAGTGCTGGGGTTACAGGTGTGTGCCACCAGACCTGGTTTTAAGTTTAATTTTTGATCATTCATTGATCACATACAAAGATAGCCTACTTTAAGCGGGGTGTGGAGGTGCATGCCTGTAATCCCAGCACTTGGGAGGCTGAGGCGGGAGGATCACAAATTCCAGCCCCACCTGGGCAATTTAGTGATTTAACAAGACTCTGCCTCTAAAAAGTAAACACTGCTGGGGATGCAGCTGAGGGCAGAGGCCCCAGGAATCCCTTAGTACCACACAACCCCCCCCCAAAAACAAACAAAAAAGAAAACTCCACAAAAACCCCTGTAAAGTGTGCCTCGGCTCCACTGTCTTAAGCGTCTTTCTGTTAATTTGTTCATTTCCTCACAAAATTGCAAGGAGAACAATCTCTGATTAGGTGACTACCAAGTGCTCTTCTCAGAAGCGGGGTTCACACCTCAACACCTCAGAGGTGACAGCCTGAGTGGCATGGGGCTTCTGCCCCCCCCCGGGGGGGGGGTCCAAGCAATCTGCTTTATTAGGGCAAAGTTGCCACCTGCATTACAATTTAACCTAAACTCATTTTAACAAAAGAAGCCTTCCAGAAGTTTGCTTTTCATGGTGCTGGGGACTGAACCCTGAACCTTCGCAATGACCCACAGCCCCAGCCTGTTTTTTTGTTGTTGTTTTTGATTTTTTGAAACAGGATCTTAGTAATTGATTTCAGTCACTCAGTGTACATGTGGTCTTGAACAGTGTACACTCAGTCTTGAACTCCATGATCTTCCTGCTTCGGCCTCCCCAAATTCTGGGAGTATAGGCATGTGCCACCACACCCACTCCCTCTTTTGTTCTTATTTTCAGGTTTAATTATTATTCTATTATTTTTTCAGTGCTGGGGAGTGAACCTGGGGCCTGGTGCATTTTAGGCTGAGTTAAACCTTTTTTGATCTCAGGACGGGTTCTCACCACACTGTTGAACTGCCCAGGTTGGGCTTGGACTCCAGCCCTCCTGTCTCACCCCTCAGAATCCTGTGGTTACAGCCATGCATCATCATACCTGGTTTAGAACTTTAAAAAAAAGTAAAGAAATGCGGGGAGGCTGAGGCAGGGGATCCCTGTGACCCAAGGCCAGCCTGAGCTACACAGCCCCCTGGCCAATTCCAGACCCCAAGGAGATGCTGGTATCCTTACTCCTTAGTGTTATTTTAGGGCCCTCACCCCATCGGGCTGGACTCCGAGGCTGCAGCGGAGGAGAGGGCCAGGGCGTGGAGGTCCTAGGTGGGGATCTGCGGCTGACCACCCTTCTGCAGCGTCTGGGGGAAGCTGGGGACACCCAGGCCCTAGAAATGGGCTGTGCCCCTGCTCAGCGCCAGGAAGGTGGCCATGGTGAGTGGCTGGGAATTGGCAGGACTCGGGGCTGTAAAAGATGGCTGCACTACCATCTGTCACTCCAGACCTGGACCACAACTCACCCACAGGCCAGGAACGCGATGGGGTGCAGCCACCTGCGGGGGGGGGGGGTGGCACACAGGCGGAGGGATGGGTCCTTTCTAGGGCGCGCGCGCCCTCTTGAGGCTACTCAGAGAATCGCGCCACCTCATAGGGAGCTGAAGGGTGCAGAAGGGGCGCCCCCTGTTCTGCGCCTCTAGCCATGCCTCCCCCCCCCCCCCGCCCTCTTCCCTCCTCCTCCGGTACCCTTCCTGCTTTCCACCCTGGGCCTGGATCCTGCATTCTGAGGGCTGCTCACACTAGGGGCTTACCAGGCCTGGCCAGCAGGGGTCCAGAGCTTCCAAGCTCTGTCCTTTGCCCACCATGGTGGCGAATGCCTGTAATCCAAGCCCTCAGGAGGCTGAGACAGGAGAATCTCTGTGCATTCAAAGCCAGCCTGCTCCGTGGACATTCTTAAGACACCTAAGAAGCCCAGTGAGAAATCACCGTATCTAAACCAAAAAGGTGAGGGAGCATGAGAGCCAGCATGAGAGTGGAAGGGACAGTGACAGCCAGGACACTGGCAAGTGAGGCCGGGTGCCGTGGAGAGAAGGGCTGAGTGGGGACACTTGAGAAGGGACAGGGAGGCGAAGCCGGGGCAGTGACGGAGGATTTGGGGCCTCTGATCGCGTGAGTGGGAGGCCGTGTTTGCCCCCTAGGACGGCCATAACAAAGTCAGGTCACCGGTTGGTGACCTAAAACCACAGAAATGTGCCTCACAGCTGAGCCACGGTGTCCGCAGCTCCAGCACCCTTGGCATTCGTTCCACGCCTCACTCCAGTCTCTGCCACCTGTCCACGAATGCCACTTCTGTGTTTTCTGTGTTTCTGTCTTTTGGGACAGTATTCAGGCTGGCTTCAAAGCTGCAGAGATCCTCCTGCCTCAGCCTCGAGAGTGCTGGAATACTAGCTGTGTGGTGCCACGCCCGGCTCTCCCATGGTCCTCTTCTCTTTGCATGTGTCTGTGCGCCCAATTTCCCTCCTCTTGTAAACACATCCAGCATTGCATGAGGGGCCACCCTAATGCCACAGGACCTCGGTCTGACTTCATTATATCCGCAAAGGCCATTTCCAAATAAGCCCACCTTTCCAGGGGCTGGGGACCCATCTGTTGGGGACACAATTCAAGCCGCAGTGGTGGCTCTGGTCCTTGCATGGAGCCTCAGTGCATGTTTTTCAACAAAGAGTCACAGGTCAAACTTTTTATTGGAGCTTAGAATGTCACAGCAATTCACCTTAGAGAGGCAAACTGAGAAAATGAGCAAACATAGCGGACAGCCTGGAGCCGTGGCATCCGGGGTGTAGCTGACTCCCCTGCGAGCAAGCAGGACGCAGCACACACGCACCTACGTACGTACGCGTGTACACACGCACGCACCTAGGCACGCATGCGCACTGGCTCCCTTGCCATGGGTCTGTGCCTGGCCCTCGGCTGTACCCTCTTGGAAGAGGGCGCCTCCAGAAGGGAGCCCCTCGTGTACTGGGGAGGAAAGAGCTGGAAGCTGCAGGAGGAGGACATGGGTGGCCTAGGACCAGGAAGCTGGAGAAAGGCCTGCTGGCCAGGGCCCGGGAGGAGAGGCTGGGCGGGCTGCAGAAGAAAAGTTGCTTCCTTTCCCTGCCTGCAGCTTGGCTACCGCTCTGGGCACAGAGGCCGGGGAGCATCAGGGGGTCCCCTGTGTCCTAGGAAGGCACTGAATGGGGAGCAGATCCTGGGAGCCTGGAGTCCCCCAGCACCCGGGAGGCCAGGAAGGGGGAGACAACAGGAAGAGGCTTACATGCCGACTGTAGGCTGTCGGGGTGACAAGACTGGGAAGTGCGGTTCCGCTTGTCACCCCCATCATGGTCACGGCCTTGCTGAGCCCTCTGACCGGCAGAGGGGACAGGCTGCCCCAGGGCAGCGAGGGGAGCCTGGCCTCACCCCAGTGTCCGGGCCCAGGCCGAGGGCAGCAGGGTGAGGCCCGGGCCGGGGCTACCAGAGCACAGCCCCGTCCAGGTTCCCGTAGCCCGGCTCTGCCCGCAGCCGCCAGTACGTGTTGTTGGTCACCCACCACTCCTTGCCGCTGCTGTCCGTCTGCCGCCTGCGGGAAGGGGGCGATGGGCAGAGGGGCCTGGCCTGGTCTGACTGCCACCCCTACCCCCAGGACGGCAGGGATGGGGCAGGCACCTGAAGAAGCGAGCCTGGTGCACGATGTTGTTCTCCTCCATCACCCGCCGCCTGTCCCGCTGCAGCTGCTCGATCCTCCGCTTCTGCGCCTCCGCTGCCTGGATGTTACCCTCCTCCAGGTACCTGGCGGTCAGGCAACCCAAGCTGCAGTCAGGGGTGCGGCCCTGCGCAGACCCCCCACAGCCAGAGTCCCGCCCCCCACAGCCTGCTCCTCGGGCACGGACCTCTGGTCTGGCCGCAGCCGCGTATCAGTAGACGGCAGCGTCCGCTTCAGCTCGGCAGTCAGCTCGTTCAGCTCCAAGGCGAACTGGGTGAAGCCGAAGTTGCGCTCATGGTCTGGGGGCATTGAGTCTGGGGGAGGCGAGGCGCTGGGGCCGGTGGGCTGCCACGGCTGCCGCACCCTGCCCAGGCCGCCCAGCCGCCCAGCTTACTGGGTTTCCAGATGCACTGGCCACTTGGCGGGAGGCCCCGGTACAGGCCTTGGTGCCACTTCCCGAACAGGCGGTGGAGCACGCGGCCACTGCGGCTCAGCACGGCGCCCTGCACCTCGTGCACATTGGAGCTCCAGTACTTGGCCTAGGACAGGCAAGCTGGCCTCAGCGAGGGTCCCTGGTGGTCCCCCACCAAGCTGGCCCCAGAGGCAAACGCCGCTGGGGTGGGATGCAGGGCAGGCAGTGCCCACCTTGCAGAAGGTAATCTTGCAGTGGCAGGAGCTGTCCCGCGTGTTTCGGATCAGCACCTCCCCGTAGTGCTCGATCCAGCGCTGGCCACTCAGGATGTTGTGAATGCAGGATGTCACCTTGTTCCACTCGAAGTGGTCCCCAAACCTGAGAGAGACAGAGTGCAGGAAGTGGGGGAGGAGCATGTGGTGGGCTGATATATGGCTTGGAGGCTGGAGGGGGGGTGGGAGTCCCAGTGGTGGCTCCACTTTGAGGGGTGGTCACATTTTCTTTTTGGAGACAGGGTCTCAGTATATTCCATGCTAGCCACAAACTTGTGGTGATACTCCTGCCTCGGCCTCCCCAGGGCCAGGATCCCAGGTGTGCACCACCACCCCCAGCTCTCTATTTTTCAGAGGTGATTCATGAGACATTAGTCCTGACATCCTTTCAGTCGTGTGTGTGTCTGTGTGTGTGTGTGTGTGTGTGTGTGTTAGCTTGAAATCTCAACATTTCTTACTGTGAGTCACAGTCAAAAAGTCAAAAAAAGGACTGAGTCAGATGACCGGGAGGAGCCTTGCCTGCTGTACCGTTCTAAGCTTCTCGCCTCTCTTTATTGCAGCTGCTACAAATACAGGTGTAAAATGTGCAAATGCTTCCACCTTGTCCTTAAGGGCCACCCATCCTGCAGGAGGTGACAGCCCTCACCCACCTGGGCAGGCTGACATTGACGGTGCCCACTGGCACGATCTCCAGAGATTTGCCCCAGAACTTGTTCTTCCACTTCATGTCTGGAGGTGGGGAGTGGAGGTCACAGCAGAGATGAGACCGGAGCTTCCAGCCACGCCCGGTGCCCTTTGCCCCCCAGCCAAGCCCCACCTGCCCCACCTGCCCCGCACCTTGCCAGAAGACAAAATTCTCAGACTCCGCATGGCACGCCGAGATGGGGGGGTGATGGGAGACCTTGGCAAACAGAGGAGCTTTCTCGAGGCTGCCCTAAAGGCCCCCCAACGCCCCTCACTGGTGAAACAGACCAGCTAGTTCCGGATCTCTCCTCCCTTCACCTTTGGCCACCACCAGTCCTCCTTCCCCCTCCATTAGGTCCCCATTTCCTTTCTCACTCCACTCAGGAGCTCCCCCATCAGCCCTGCCCAGGCTGCCTCCTAGAAGGCCTCCTCAGACCCCCACAACTGTGCCCCAAGGGACCCTGGCTCTGCCTTTCCTGAGGATCCCTGTACCCACCTCTCCCCACAGCCTGGAAACCCCTGGCTTGTCCTCCCTCCCCCAGTGCCCCTGCAAGACCCTGGGACTGGAACCTCCACGTCCCCAGCCTTCCCTCCAGGCCTCTCTCCCAGTTCCCTGTCACCCACAGCTCGGGGCAAGGCCTGGGTCTCCAGAACTGGGCTACTTTCCTCTGCTCTTGGGATCCAACCCCTCCACTCTACAGTCTCTGTGATCCAACCTTTGCCCCTTCTTACCCGGAGACCCACCTTGCCCAGGGAGCCAGTGATGCCCCCGGGCCCCACAGACTAGGCTCTCCTGCCCAACACCTCTCTAGGGGTCCCTGACTTTTCCCTGATGGGCTGTCCTGCCCCACAGCTCAGGCTCCTTGCCTCAGTTTCCTCCCTCATACACTGTGGTGCCGACTGGCCTCTCCACTGACCACAGGATCCTCGGGTCAGAAAGGTGAGGCCATCCGGACCCCTCCCCTACCCACCACACTCCATTCCTTGGTAAGAACCATGAAGGCCACCAGGTCCACCAAGGGCATCATGTAAACAGCTCTACTACCTAAGGGTGGACCACTGTCAGCAGACGACCTCAGCAGTCTCCAAACCACCCCCGACTGCCACAGTCCCCCACCACCAAGAGTTCTTTACAAAGTACAGTTCAGAACCTGCCACTCTGCCACTTCATCTCCTCCAGGCCTCCTGCTGGCTTCAGGGTTTTGGGCGTTTTTTAGTTTCCTGAGACAGAATCTCACTAGGTAGCCCAGCCTGGCCTGGAACTGGAGATATTCTCCTGCCTCAGCCTCCCAAGTGCTGGGATTACACCTGCCTTCACGATTTAAAAACCAACTGCCAGACCCTCCTTCCCCTGCCCTGGGCTCTGCAGGGTCTGGCCTGCCAGGCCCTCCAGCCCCAGGGTGCTCCAGGCTGCCGGACTGGTGGAATCTCCCAGCCCTGGGCTCCAGGCCCCTCCAGCTAACCCATCCTTCCTGAGCCAACTCGAGTGCGCCCTCTAGAGCAGCTTCCGGGTGCCGCCTCCAGGACGAGCTTGAGCCTTATCCGAGGGGGGTGCGGGGCTGGCAGGAACCCTCTAGCTCCCCAGGCCCGCCCTGGCCTCACCTGCTCGCTGATGAAACGGAAGCCACGGTCGGGCCGCTCGCACTCGTAGGTCTCCCCGAGGACCGGATTGAAGGGCTTGCAACCGGCGCGATGGTAGGTGGAGCAGTAGGCCGATACCGCGAAGGCCGCGATGTACACCTGCGGGGGTGGGGTGGGCAGGGCACCAACCAGCTGGAGAGGGGTCGCCGTCCCCGTCAGCGGCAATGCCCCCAGCCCTGCCCGGGGCGGCGCCCGCCTACCATGCGCTCGCAGGGGTCGGCCAGGCGGCTGGCCTGGTCCAGCAGGCTGCTGTACTCCAGCTCCTCGCACAGCCGCTGCAGCGTGTTGAGCGGCTCGTTGAGCTGCACTGGCATGGACACCTTGGACAGGTCCTTGCCGATGTTGTTGCGCAGGATGTTCCACAGGCTCACGTCGGCCCCGGGGCCGCTGGCGGCGGGTAGGCAGCGGCGGCGCGGGGGGCCCGGGGCTCGCCCTGCAACACAGCCCCCTGTGACTGTCCAGGTCACTCCCTCCGGTGCAGACAGCCTGCCGCCCTGGCCCCGTCTCCGCCCTGGGGAGGGCAAGGTGACTGCCGGTGTAAGTGACAACGACGAGCCCCCACTTCGGGGGACTTCGGTGCCCCCCACAGCTAAGAACTATCGGGAAAGGAAGTGCCATGCCCGCCGATGCCACCCTCACTCTGGCCCTTATAAACGGAAGCAGATGCCAGGAGGCTGAGGGTGCGGCCTCTTTTAGAAAGGGAGAAATAAACCGATGGGCCTGAAGGCACTCTGTTAAAAGTCACAAACTTGGACCTGTTTTTCTTTTTGGGTTTCTGAGAGAGTCTTGCTAGAGCTCAGCCTAGCCTTGAACTTGCTGTGTGGCCCAGGCTTGAATGTGTGGCAATCCTCCTGCCTCAGCCTCCCCAGTACTGGAATTTAGGCATGTACCACCCTACACACTGGGGCCTTTTGCCTATCCAGTGCTGTGTGTCTGTCTGCTTGACAGAAGTCAGACTCTATGCTAGGCTCCCAGCCTGCTGGACCAGAGACCCAGTGCCAAGCCCAAGCATGGCCCACATCCTAGACCTGCACCTGCAAGCTGCCCAACTCAGCCTTCCTCAGCTGCAGGCCCATGCATTAGCTCACTGGTCACAAGGGACCCCCACTTTCCCAAGGCTCCAGGCCTGGTGCCCACCCACTGCCACCTGGCACCTTCCTGACAGCGATCAGCTGCCCTGAGCTGTAGCCTCTCCTCCGAAAGGCTGGCGGTGACTTCACTGGGGCAGGACTCCTCCTCCTCCTCCTCTTCCTCCTCCTCTGAGCCCTGGGCCGGGACAGATGATAGATGGGCAAACCCAGCCTCCCCCAAGCGGCTGGTGGTGCCTGGGGCCTGCACAGCCCTGCCCAGCCAGGCCTTTGGTGGAAAGGGGCAGAGGAGGCACTGCCTGTGGGGCCTGGCAGCATGGGGCGTCCCCATCACTTGGGGTGAGGCTCAGCAGGACCCTGGGATAAACTGGCCTGCTGAGCTCAGGGTTTGGGGAAACAAGGTTGGGAGCACAGAAGCTGAAATGGGGTCACAGGAAGGCAATGGGGGCTGAAAGTACAGCCGAGGCCCCCACAGGGATTTCCAAGCCAGGCCACCCAGGCCCCAGCAATGCTCCCAGAGACATGGAGGGAGGAGGGAGGGAGGGCGCTCCACCACTCTGCCACAGTGCCCCTGCCCTCACCTCATTCTCAGAAGAGCTGGCGGAGAGGAGGACCTCGCAGGCATCAAAGAACTCCGTGTGGGAATCAGCCAGGGACAGGACACTGCTCTGCGACAGCTGTGGGGTCAGCTCCTGCCCCTTCATGTACAGAGCTTCCTGCTGTGGGGGCCACAAGGGCATCAGGCCCACGGGCCCCCCCTGGGGAGCAGGCCTCCGAGTCCCGCTCCAAGCCCCTGTCCTCTAACTCATTCCATCTTGCTCTGCAGCCCAGCCTGGCCTTGAACTCCAGGCAGTCCTTAGCCTCTTACTGGTGGATGCTGTCACACCAGGCAAGCCCATTCCAGCCTGACACACACCCTGGGGCAGTACATCTACTGCCCGACTCTGCAAATCAGGACACTGAAGTGAGGCCCTGTCACATAGCTGGCAGGCAGTAGCCCAGGGCCCAGCCTCAAGGGCAGTCCAGCCAAGCCTCCATGTGATTCTGTGGTCCTAGTTTTGCTCTCTGGCGGGTCAGAATGCATCACGGGTGCTGAGTGAATAGCAGTGCACCCTAGAGGGGCCCCCAGCTGTTCCAGGAGCGGCTGCACCCAGGTCGTGGGAGCCCAGACTTCCGGGGTCAGTTTCCAGTCTATCAACTGCAGTGCCCACCCCTGGGGAAAGAGGGCACAGAGAAGCCATGCTGGTGCCTCACCTCCTCGGGGTTGAGGGAGCTGAAGGAGTCCGCCGTGGTGTCGGAGGACATGGACAGCGAGTGGAGACGTGGCTGCCCGGCGGGGGTCGCTGCAACCTGCAGGAGCAGTGGGTGAGGAGCTGGGGTCCTCCGTCTGCGCCCAGCCCTGCCTGGTTCTGTCCCCAAACTCACCCCGAATCTGGCTGGTTGGGAGCCCCGGTGCAGATCCCACAGTCGGTCCCTCTCCACGGTGAGGGCGGCCAGGACACTGCTGAGTGAGCTGTGCACTGTGGGCAGGGGACGTGTCACTCTCCCACCTCCTACCCTGCGTCCCCTCGACTCCCCCAACTCACACTCACCCTTCTGTGCCAGGGCCCAGAAACTGCGCTGCACGTGGGCGTAATCTGGGGGTGGCAGCCCCCGGGAGCCCGAAGGGTCCCGGGAATCCAGGTAGCGAGATAGGTTGGGGACAGAGCCGTGGAGACGACCAACCTGGGAGGAAAGGGCGGGTGAGGGGACAGTGTATTCTCCATCCCGCCCTGCAGCCTAGGCCCCGAGGCCGCTCACCCGCCCCATGGTGTCATCCTTGGCAAAGCTCTGCGTGCACCATATGCGAGTGGTCCGCTTGCCCTTCTTGGGTCTCTCGGTGGTCCCCGAGGCCTGGAGAGTCAAGGGGTGCGACTTCACTCACAGCATGAGGGGAAGAGACGCCAAGCGCTGTCTGGCAGAGGCATGGGCACGGGAAGGGGCAGAGCCGGTCCCCAGCAGCTGGGCCAATGGTGGTTCCCTGGGAAAATGTGGCAGGGCAGAGGAAGCGCACCCACCCCAGGGAGTGCCCGGGACACACCCTTACCTGGTGCGTGGGGATCACAGGGGCCGAGGGGATGCGGTGCAGGGACTCCAGGCTCTGCAGGAGCCTGTGTAGCTCCTGGAGTTTCCCCTGGCATTCAGAGAGCACTGGGAGAGGAAAGAGGATGCCAGTCCCCACACAGGCTGGGACCATCTGTCTCTACCTCCTCCCTCCACCAAAGACGGCACCAAGCAGGACCCGGGGCACTTGCAGTTCCATGCATGGCTGCCGCATCTCAGCCCTCACCCTGTCTGTGATCGCCCCCCACCTCTGCCGCCTGCACCCAGCCCAAGCCCCGGCCCGCTCTGTCTGCCCCTCACTGTGGGAGCAGCGGTCCAGCCCGTCGCTGTCCCTCAGCCAGGATGACACCTTCTCCTGAGCTCCAACTCCAGGCAGAGCCGAGGTGCTGCCCACTGTTAGGAGTTGGGTGCCAGGAACCTGTGGGCAAGCTGGGGGTCAGGGAGAGTCCCTCAAGTGCCACCCCTGAACAGTCACACCACTGGCCCCACCTCAGGTCCCACCCTACCTTGCGATTTGTGGGTCCAGGCACATCCAGCTGCTGGGCTAGGCGGTGAGCACGGAGCTGGGCCAGCCAGCTTTGGAAGAGGTCCTGGGATTTGATCTGCAGAAGGGATGGGGGTGCGGGCAGCTGAAGGTAAGGGCTGCTGGCCAGGAGCAGGGTCTCTCCCTGTAGCACCTGGGCTGTGAAGAGGGCAGGCAGACGGAGCACAACACCCCAAGACTCCCACCCTATTCACGAGACAACCCACAGGGCAAGTGGCCCTTGGCTTTTTTTTTGAGGCAGGGCTGCACTATGCAGTTCATGCTGGCCTCAAACTCACTTTGTAGACCAGATTGGCCTTGAACTCCCAGTGATTCTCCTGCCTCCGCCTACGTATGAGTGCTGAGATTACAGGCATGCACCACCACGCCCAGAGCCCTTGGCTGTCATACACAATGGCAACTCCCTTCCTCCTTCCTTTCCTCCCCGCTTCTTTTTCTCCCTGCCTTCCTTCTTCCTTTCCTTCTTTTCTTCCTTCTGAGACACTGGAGGTTTAACCCAGGATTTTCCACTAAGCTACATCTCTGGCTGTTATTTTAACTTTTTATTTTGAGACCGAAATTGCTACATTTCCCAGGCTGAGTTGAATTTGCCATTTTCCTGCCTCGGCCTTCCAGAGTGTTGGAATTTACAGGTCCCATCATGCCCACCTACGAAGGCATTTTTATGCCAACTCAGGAAAGACCCTCAGCCTCTATGGGCAGGCCAGTAACCTGGCTCCCCAGATGGCTGCCCCAGGGATCGAACCCTGGACCTCACTCCTTGGGCAAATGTCTGCCCTGAGCCACATTGCCAGCCCCTGCCGCGGCACCTTGAGGTGATAGATGTTGTCTTCGGTGTCGAGGTCGATGCGCTGGGCCTTCCTGTTGACGGACATGACTGACAGCCGGACGTTGATGGAGCCATGGGGCTTCCCCTTGGTGATCTGACGAGGGATTGGTGGGAAACAGGACCGAGCTTAGGTCCCCAGGACCACAGAGCCACCACTGCCTACTCAAGGCGCAAGGGCCGGGTAACAATTCGCCCCGAGGACCAAGTGACACCATCAGAGGGGACTCGTCAGTCACCTGCTACCACAGGAGGCAGATGACACCAGAGACTGTAAACACTTCCACCTCAGTGAGTGTTGTGTGGTGTTCAACAGTGAGTGAGGGTTAGGGTTAGGGTTAGAGATAAAAATCTGTTCCATGTTCTGCACAGAAGCAACTTTAAAAAAATAAGTGTGGGCAGGGGAAATAGCTCAGTGGCCTGCCTGGCAAGCACAAGGTCGTGAGTTCAACCCCCAGGACTGAGGAAATACAATGTTTGTGTTTTGGATCTGCAGTTGGTGGGATCTACAGAAGTGGGGCCCGAAGGAGGGGCCCAAGTGCTGACTGTAGGTGCCCGTGCTGACCCTGCCCTGGCTCCGGGCAGGCCCCTCCGCACCCCAGCCCTGGCCCCGACTCACATCTTGCCGGGTCGTTGCATAGTGCAGGATCCCATCCTCGAGCACGAAGTACCTCTGTGACAGTGGCAGGGAGGGACAGGATGGCAAGGCCATGAGGACAGGGGCCAGAGAGAGTGGACACTTAGACCCTTCTCCCAGCACAGAGGCGCACCACCCAGCAGCCTCCTGCTGCGGCCCCACCCTGGATACCACCCTACCTTGTGCCAGCCCTTCAGGGGCCACTTCCTCTTCTTGAGCAGGTGACCCTCCTGCCGCTGGGCCTTGACACCCTCCGCTGCCAGCCTGCCTGGGGGCTCCTCTACCACCTCCCACAGCTCAGAGCCCTGCAGTCCAGAGGAAGGGAAGCAGTGGTGGCTGCTCCCCATCCATCCCTGAGGCCCAGGCCCACCCATTTCTGCCGCTTCCCCCAGACCTGCTGGCCATTGCTGGGCTTCGAGGACTGAGTGCTCTCAGCCAGGGATGGGATGTCCATGGAAGAGGGAGAGGCCACTCCCTGCAGAGGATGTGGGGCGTGGCGGATGGGTCAGATGTCACCTGGTCCTGATGGGGTCCTTGGAAAGGTGAAAGCCCTCCTGCTAGAGACCGTGCCATGTGCTGCCCCTGATCCACCCTGTGCCACCCTGGGTGGGTCCCTTTGCCCACACCCTGGCACTATAGCCCGCTCACTGAGGTGACACAGGGCACCCAGGCAGGCTGGGGCCAAGGGGACACTAGAGAATGCCCAGCCCACCTTAGGCACACTGCAGGGCTCGAGAGGCCTGGGGGGTCACTAGGAGCCAGGGATGGGGACTGTCAAGAGCTCCTCCATCCGTGTTCCCCTCCCTGCAGGGCTTCCCCCCCCCCCGCCATGGCTCAGCTACCTCACCCTGCACCCCGCAGGCCCCTCGGTTGGTCCCCATATCCTCACGGCCCCATTTCTCACATGGGGACACTGAGGCCCAAGACAGCCTGCCACACATGCCCCGAGGTCCCCCCAACTTGTCCTTTCAGTCTCCCAAAGCCTCATGACTCCCCTTTTCCCATCCCAGTCCTCTTGGCTCCTGAGAAGTGATGCCCACCCAAAGAGAGCAGGCCATGGGGCCGACAGGGACACCATGGACAAGGGAGAGATGGCCAGGGAAGTGCTGAGGTCCATAGGCAGTATGCCCACAGCGCCCTCGGCATGGGCCCTGGCTGTCCTGACTCTGCCAGGACATCAGTAATGTGCAGGGCTGCATGTGGGCAGTGGAGGGCACTGGAGGAGTGCGGCTGGCCCGGGGCTGGGGGAGCAGCTCAGGTCTTCCTGTGGAATGGGGGCACCTAGGAGCCAGGCTAGGAGATGACAGGGATGTGGCAGGGAAGGGTGGCCAGGAGGTTGCAGTGGAGGAGCTGGGCTGCAAGAGGCTGCCCCAGGGGAAACTCCTGCTGTCCGCCATGCAAAGTTCCCAAACTGTCCCAGTGTTCGGGCTTCCCGGTGCCCTTGTTCCCCCAACCCCTGGCCCTCAGTGCTGGCTACCAGACGGGGGCTGCATCAGGAAAGACGGGCCAAGGTGAGCCAGGTGGGAACCCCTATCACCTCCACGCCCTCCCTGGGATCTGGAGGAGTAGCACCCGCTGGGGTTGGGGGAGCCCTCCCCACGATGGCACCCCTGCCCTTGCGGCCCCCTTACCCCAGGGTCCATGCACACTGGTGCTCCGGGCTGGGCGCCCTCTGAGTCACCCTCAGCGAGTCGCCGACTCTGTCCACGCGGAGCCGAGTAGTGGCAGCAGCTGCCGCGGCTGCAGGAACCAGGAAGGAAGGCGACGTTGGAGCTTCCCCTCCCGCCGCCGGATCTCCCCACCTTCCCCTCCCGTCACCTCCTCCGCCCAGCGCAGGGCAGACGCTCAGCTCTGCCCCCCTGCTCCCCGGAGGACTCAGGGCCCAGCCGCTGCTGTGGCTGTGGCTGTGGCTGTGGAACAGGGACACGTCTCCACCAGGCACGGCTCCAGCGGGCTGGGAAGACTGGCCCTGGCCAGGGGTGGGGATTTCTCCCGACCTGGACCTGCACAGGCTTGACCTCAGGGAGCTGGCGGCCAAGGCCATTTCCCAGAGCCCCCACCCCTCTCACTTTATATCTGAAAATAGATTGCAAAATTTGGATGAGCAAAGGTATCAGATTGAAGGGGAAGGGACAAATTCCCCCTGGGACACCACACTGCCAGAAGCAGAGTAAGCAGGGCAGTCAAGGGAACAGGAGGGCCCAGGACCACACCCAGAGGCCACTCACAGCAGGTCTGGATCAGCTACAGCCTATTAAAAAGGGGCACCAACCTGGGAACCCCCACCTGCCTTTCTGCGTACTGTTTTTTTTTTTGTTTTGTTTTTTGTCTTTTTCATTGGTACCGGGGATCGAACTCACGACCGCCTGCTTGCAAGGCAGGTGCTTATGCCGCTGAGCTAAATCCCCAGCCCCCTTTCTGCGTACTGTTAACTGTTCAATTGCTCAAGTCTGCAGGAAAATTGGCTTTTCAGAGATCCGCACCAGGCGTGGTGGAACACATCTGTAATTCCAGGGCCAGAAGGCTGAGGAAGGAGGAGCAGCCCAAGTCTGAGGTCAGCTTGAAACTGAGTTGAAGCCCAGCCTGAAAACCTTGACTTAAAAAGATAAAGAACAAAAAACCACTTTCCAGAAAACAGCTTCATTGTGCCTAAACCTGTCAGGGTGCATGACATCCATTTAAAGGAATTTTAGCGGTTTTTGAGATAGGATCTTACTAGGTAGTCCAGGCTGAGATTGAGCTCAGTTTGTAGCCCAGGCTTGTCTCAGATTGGCAGCAATCCTCCTGCCTCAGCCTCCCCAGTGCTGGAATTATAAGCATGTGCTACCATGCCTGGCCAAGAAATGGGTTTTAGTGGGGGCTTCAGGCACTATCACCACAGGGACAGGATGTGGTGAGGCCCTTCCAGAACCCCACGAATCAAGTAGGGTACCTGTCCACAGCCCCAGCCCCACACAGCACAGCAGGAGGTCAGGGTTGTCCACATAGCTCTGGGACACTGTGGTCCCATCTCAGCACAGCTCTGCCTCCCCAGGGGAGGGCAGTGTGGACACCAACACTGGCCCCGGGAAGCCTTGAAGATCTTTTTTTTCTTTTAGTGGTACCAGGGATCAAACTCATAGTTTGCGCTTGCCAGGAAGGCGCCTATGCCACTGAACTAAATCCCCAACCCTGGTCTTTTTGTTTTTGAGGCAGGGTCTCCCTATGTAGTTCAGGTTGACCTCAAATCTGTGGCAATTCTTCTGCCTCAGCCTCCCATGTGCTGGGATTACTGGTGTGCACCGCCATGCCTGGCCCCAGGGCCTTTTCACTCACATCATGCTGACTGAGCACCCCTGGTCACTGCATAGAGCTGGGCACCATGAGAAGCCAGTCCTGACCCAGGCCACGGTGACAGCCTTGCTCTGAAACAGGCCAAGGATGCTGGGATCCCACCCCTAGTCCAAAAGAGCGGCTGAGGAGCCTCCCTCCGGGCACAGACTTGACGCTGGGAGGCCACTAGCTCAGCGGCTCCACCCACTCCTCTCCTGGAGGCCCCTGCTCTTGGGACTGGGAAGCAGCTGCCTGCAGCCCCCTCACCCTTGACAGCAGAGACACCGAGCTCCCCTGGCTTTTTGTGCAGCACTCATGTGACACAGATGTACCAGTCACAGCTGCCAGAGGCCTTCAAAGGGACCAGAAGTGGTGCAGCGAGGACGGGGAGGAGGAGAGGTTTTCTGGGAAGGGAGGTAGGCAGGCATGAGGACGGGCCGAGAATAATTGCAGACACCAAGTGACACAGCAGAGGCGCTTTGCTTTATCAGAGAGCCCTAGGGCAGCGGGTGCAGCCGGAGGGGACATAGCCGACTTCCACTGGAGACCTCGAGGGTAACCCCATGTCTCTGTCCTGCCTCTGCTACCTGCATGACTTTCGGACGGACCATTTATGTCCTCTGCCTGTTTCTTATGTGTGTCCAGGGACTGACTATACAGTGCTGAACCCAGCCACTCCACACCATCGCTTGGTTGGGATTCCGGGGCTGCTGGGTCCCCCAAGGAGGGTGGGGAGCCGTCAGCAAGGAACAGTGGACCAGGAGGCGGAAGGCCAGGGCAAGAGTCGCAGCCTCCCAGCTGTGTAACTGGGAATGGAAGAGACTGCATCTATCAGGTCCCCAGCTGGGAACGCGGGGACAGAGACAGAGTGACAGCCTCTGCCTGTATTCTGAGTGGCAGGCCCTGTACTCAAGGAGGGGGCCACTGACAGAAGCCAGGTCACCCATGCCATGCCGAGTTCGTTTGTGTCATGGACAGAGGCTGGCACAGTCACAGGTAGGCCAGATGCACGGGCAGCTAGGAGTCCAGGGCAGGCTCTCGAGGGCCCGGCTCCCCACCGGCTGTCTCAGGCGACGACTCTTCCTGTCGCTGTCTGATGTGCTGGTCCAGCAGGGCCGTCAGCTGGCCAGACTGGCGCTGGAGCAGGGCAGGGGTCTGGTGCAGCAGGAGGCTGAAGCTTCCGATTAGCTCCTCCTGCAGCAGCCTCTGGCTCGGCAGCTTGGCGTAATCCAGGAAGCCCTGTCTGCTCAGGATGGTGTCATCTACGCAGCCGCCTGCAGGACACAGGCTCTGCTGTTACCCCTTTCTCTGGAAATGGTGCCCTCAACCCTACCCTCATCCTCGCCAACTGCTCAGAACTTGTTCCACCTGCACCCCCCATCTGCACTGCTGGGGTCCACCCCCTCAGCCTTGCTCTGAAACTCGCCCAGCGTACCCACCTGCCCCGCTCCCCCGGAAGCCCATGCTCCCTAAACTGCCTTTCCTCTCAAACCCAGGACCTCTGTGCTAAGCTGTAGTCCCAGCCCTTCGTTTGGTATGTCTGTTTTGGAACAGGATCTCATGAAGTCACAAAGTCACCTAGGCTGGGCTCAAACTTGGCATTCTTTTGCCTCAATCCCCGAGTACTGGGATGACAGGCATGTGCCACCACACCTGGTGTGCTAAACTTTCCTGAAGACAGAATCATGGAGTGGAGGAATGAAACCAGAAGTTATTTTTGCTGGGTACAGAATTTCAATTTTGCAAGACAAAAAAAGATTTATGCAAACAGATAAGGGTGAGGGTTATACATTGTGAAGGTATCTAAAATGCCCAGTGTGGTGGCACATGCCACTCATCCCAGCACTCTGGAGGCTGAGGCAGGAGGTTCACCATGAATCAAAGCCAGCCTGTACTACCCAAAGAGACCCTGTCTCAAAAAACAAACTGAAGAACAAAAGCTGTTGACTCTGGCCCCTCCCTGGAGAGGAGGCCCTCTACAGAAAGCACCGGGCCCTGGGGCACTTGCCCTCTCCCCACAGCCCTCGGTGGTGGGGCACTCACCCAGCAGCGGTAGGAAGGGCACCGTCCTTAAGATCCGCACCATCTCCTTAACCCTGGGCTCCTCGCTCACCAGCAGCATGTTGTGGCCCACGAACAGGGGCAGCAGGCTTCGGTATTTGGAGTCCTCTAGGAAGGGCTTCAGGACCTGGGGGGGGGCGGGGAGTAAGGCGGGGGAGGGAAGGACCCACACTGGGATCACAGGAGGCTGTGGTACCACGCTGGGGGGCCTCGGCCCCAGGCCACAGCCTGGGCACTGGAGGAGGGAGCTGCCAGCCAACAGCGAACCCACGGGGAGGGCCGAGCTGGGCCCGGCTGGTGACATGGGGCACGTGGCTCCCTGGTGGGCAGAGCGGCCCTACCTGGCTGGGGAAGACCTTCACAAGGATCTTGTGCCTGCGGAGCTGGTGCCGCAGGATGAGCTTGTCCTCAGCGCTGATGGCCACGTTCTGGCACACAGCGATCATGCGGTGGTCACGGAACACCTCCTCGATCTCCCGCCGCAGGAGCCGGACAAGGCCTGACTCCTAAGGAAAGGAGAATATGCAACAGCTTGGGGGCCGGGGGGAATAGTCGGGCCCTAATGCTGGGAGATGCAGGACATCAGCTACTTCGACATTCCCGTTTCCATTAGTCCATCACAGGCTCTGGAACCCGAGCTGCTCCTCCCAGGTCTGACGATAATTTGTGAAAGTGATCTTAATTATGAGCCCGGCCCCACCCATGCTGGATTATTTTACCAATCACAAATCCAAGACAGGGCTGTTGGGTCCTGGGCTCAGCGGTATAGCACACGCGTGGCAAGCATGAGGGCCTTGGTTCAATCCCCAGCACCAATAAATAAATACAGATAAAAAGAAATAAAAGGTGACACTTTGGCTGGACATGGTGGTGCATGCCTGTAATTCCAGCAGTAGGGAGGCTGAGACAGGAGGACTGCGGAAGTCTACAGCCCAAATACACTACATGGTACATTCAAGGCCAACCTGAAGTATATAGCAAAACTCTGGCTCAAAAAAACGCTCCCCCCTTAAAGTAACTTTGGCAACACTAGCTTCAAATTGACACATTTTCACCAAACAAGCTTTCTTTTATTGGAAATTGAACCCAGGACCTGAGTTATGTCCCCAGACCCCACCCCCCACACTGTTCTTTTTAATTTTTTAATCTGAGCCAGGGCCTTGCCCAGGGCAACTTCAGGACCTCACTCTAAGCTCACTCCAGTGCGCCATCCCATCACCCAGCCTGGTGCACCCTGCGTGCCTTACCTCCTTAGGAGGCTTGGGGGGAGGCGGCAGGCATCTGGGGTTCACAGCCGGCCGGGGCGGGATGTACTCAGTCACGGCCATCAGTTTCTGCCGTTCATGGTGCATGACACGCCAGTGTCGGGTCACTGCCTTGGAGCCATGGCGCACGCTCTGGAGGATGGGCAGACGGCCTGGGAAGGAGATGATGATGGAGAAGCAGCCTTTTGCAAACCCTCGTTTATTTTACTTATTTATTTTTTGGTCTTTTTGAGACAGGGTCTCGCTATGTAGCTGAGGCTGGCCTTGAACAGTGGCTATTTTCCTGCCTCAGCCTCCTGAGTGCTAAGATTACAGGCCATGCACCAATACACCCGGCTACCTTATGTTTTTTACTAAGTGACTTTAGGTCAGTTGCTTGGTCCCTCAAGGCCCCCATCTCTCCATGGTTTCTTCTTCAGTACGGGAGACTGAACTCAAGGCCTTCACATTAAGCTGCATCCCTAGCCCCCTCCTGAGACAGGGTTTCAATAACCTGCTCAGGCTGAGCTCAATCTTGTGACTTTCCTGCCTCAGCCTCACAGTGCTGGATTACAGGACTGTGCCACCATGCCTGGCGTCCAACTCTTCTTTCTGTGCAAAGATAGGATGCAAAATAAGAACAAAGGAGAAAGTATTCTGAACACACGATGCAAGGCCCAATGGGGAGGGGCAAACCTCTTCTTAAATGGCCGAAGAGTAAATATTTCATGTCCAAAGCCCTGGGCTTCCTCCCCAGTACTGCAATCAAAAACAAAAAACAAAACAAAAAAACCAATCACATAGTGACCAACGCTGCCATGTACAGCAATCACTGGTTTAAGACAGTGGCTCTTGAATTATACTCCAGCACCACCCAGCCAGAAATAGCAGCAACACCAAGGCAGCTGTGAGAAGTATGAATTCTCATGCTTGCGCTACATTTACTGACTCCAAATCCCTGGAGCAGGCCCAATAAACAGTCCTTTAAAAAGTTCTCTTGGTAAACTGGGTATAGTGGTGCACACCTGTAGTCCCAGCACTTGGGAGACTGAAGCAGGAGGATCATCACTGCAAGTTCGAGATCAGCCTGGGCTACAAAGTGAGCTCAAGGCCAGCCTGCACTGCATAGAGAGACCCTGTCTCAAGAAGATTAAAAAATAAAAATAAAAAAGACCTCTCAGTGATACTGATGCCTGCTACATCCTAACCACTGCTCTAAAGCTGCTCCTGTGACATGAAGAATGGGGAAAAAAATGACATCTGCTTAATACCTCTTCCAAGATGTACTCCCCTCTTTCCTTCTTGTGCACAAGCACCAGCAGCAGCCCTCAGAAACAAGAGACACAGAGCCACAGTGACCCCTTCATCCTTGACCCAGGGGCTGAGATGGGAGCCTCTCCCCAACGCTGAGATGGGACCTCAGGAAAAGGGTCAGCTAGAACATCAGACAGCAGATTTGCTGGGGTGAGACGTTTTGCTGCCAGTTGTCACAAAAAGCTAAATATTAAGAACAGCTTTGAAGCCAGGTGTGGTGACTCATGCCCAGTGCTCAAGAGGCTGAAGGAGTTCAAGGCCAGCCTGGACCATATAGCAATACCCTGTCTAAAAAAAAGAGCAGCTTTGAAATCAGATGCAACTGGGTTTTAACCTGCCTTCTGCTATTTACTGTGACCTGGTCCAGTCCCTCAACTGGGCCAAAGTTCACTTCCCTCGTGTGAAGGAGTAATGTCTTCCCTATAGGGCGCTCTAAAGTTTACACGAGGCAATACATATAAAAGATTTATCAGGGCTGGAGATTTAGCTCAGCGGCATAAGCACCTGCCTTGCAAGGAGGCAGTCGTGAGTTGGATCCCCGGTACCGATAAAAAGGAAAAAGACCAAAAAAAGAAAAAAGAAAAAAAAATTTATCATAGTCCCTGGCCCATAGTCGGGGCTGGAATACATTAAACAAAACCACTGCGTGCCTGTCAATAATAGACACCGTGCCACCTGCTGGCTGTGCAGGAGGAATACAGCTCTGCCCTTAAAATCTCAGAGACAAGCGAATAAACAAAACGCAAAAATAACAGATTGCGATGGGACCATGGGGTGACCAATACAAGAAAGACTGAACCTGTTTCACAAAGGGTGGGGAGGAAAGGCCTGAGGGGACGACATTCAGGCTGAGGCTCAGAGCAGTCATACAGCAAAAACTGCGCGCAAGGAGAGGTCTGAGTAAAGAAAACCGGCCTGCGGCAAGAGCTGCGCGGTGCATTAGAGAAACGCAGAGCCGGCGCACTGGAACGTAGGCCATATAAAATGCTGCTGTTGGTAACATCGCTGCTGTGGTTATCAGTCTGGAGTCACCGAAGGTATCAGAAGGCCAGCGATCTAGCTGGTGTTGGAGATCACCCCAGGTCTGGTGTCAGAAATTACGAAAAGGATCGGAAGTAGAGGAGGGGATACCGAGGACCAGGGAGCGCTAGTCAGATGCGCAGCGAGGTCCTGGATTACTCCTTACCCGCTTGGGGCAGGAGAATCCCTCGTAGCACACCAGCCACGGCCGCGGCCATCGCCACCGGAAGAACAAACGGGAGCCGAACGGAGCCGGAAGCAGCTAAGGATTGTGGGGCAGAAAACCGGAAGTAGTAGGCGGACCCGCCCCCATGAAGCCGTATTCCGCATGCGCAGAACCCGATCATTGAGCCCGCCTCCCTCCACCCCCGCCCAACCTGGCGTCCAGTTTCCTAGCAACGAGGCAGTTCTCCGGGGAATCTCTTGGTCCCTCCTGCCCACAACCCCTGCTTGCTGCAGTAAAGCCCCTCGACATCCCGCTAACTCCAGACCCTCCATCCTTATTTACTTCTGTCTTCAAATTTACCCCTAACAAGTTACTGTGAATCAACCCCCTCCTTTGTTTCCCAGGGGTGAGCTTCTTTCACCTCTGTCTTCCGGAGGTCAGCCATTCCTAAAGACCGTTAAAATTCTTGTCATCTGCCTTAGGCCAGCACCTGTTTATTTTAGCTGATGTCCGGAGGTGAGTAGGGAGGTGGGTTTTGGAGTAGAACATCACAGTAGAGTCAACAGTAGAATCAACAGTGGGCCCCGGGCCTCCGAGAATGAAGAAATGACAACCAGAATCATTGTTTCACAGATAAGCTTGCTCAGAGCCCAGAGGAAGATGTCTGCATCACAGAAGCACTTATCATTAAGCGCAACCTAACTTTCGATGAAGATGAGGATCTGTCCGAGAAGATGTGAGTGGGTCGGGGAAGGAAGGGGCAATCGTTTCCCTCCGCTCTACCCACCTGTCCAATCATTGTGGCCTCTTCTTTACTTACCCCACACTCCAACCAATGATAGTGCCAGTTGAGTCCCCTCTTCAGAAATCCTTCTGGAAGTCGTGCGTGGTGGCTCACACCTGTAATCCCAGCACTCTGGAGGCTGAGGCAGGAGGATCGTTTCGAGTTCGAGACCAGCCTGGGCTACAAAGTGAGCTCAAGGCCAGCCTGAACTGCATAGTGAGACCTTGTCTCAAAAAGACAAAAAAAAAATCCTTCTGAAGCCGGGCATGGTGGCTCATGCCTTTGGGAACTTAAGGCAGGAGAAACCCTGCAAGTTTGAGGCAGTCTGAGCTACACGATGAGTTCACAACCAGCCTGAAGGTCCCAGGGATACAGCTTAGCAGCACAGTGCCTGCAGGCAAACTCAAAGTCGTGAGTTTGATTCCCCATACGAAAACAAACAAACAAACAAAAAAAAAACAGAAAACCCTGAACTAAATAGTAAGACCTTTTATCAAAAAAATACATTAAAAAATAAGAAGAAATAAAATTTGAGGGGGATATAGCTCAGTGGCACAGCACCTACTTGGTAAGCACAAGGTCCTGAGTTCAGTTCCCAGTACCAAAATAATAAATAAAATTTGAGAAAGATCGAGTTAGCATGTACACGTACCATTCACTCTGCTTGAAACAGCTCTGCTCTGTCCCCTCCATCTTTGTTGCTAACTCCAGCAGGAAGCAGTTCTGAGCCCTCTGTGCTGGACCTAAACCCCCCCTACCCTGTGACTTCATCAGCTGTCCCTATCTGTCTGTCTCCCCCTTGTAAGTGTTTGCCCTGCTTCCCTCACAGTGATGAGCAGGGACACTTTTGTCTGTAGGCAACTGGTAAATGATGTGGAATTAAGAGATACATGGCAGGAATCCGTGCTGGTCCCCCTCACAGACCACTCAAAAGGAAGATGAGGAAGGTTCTTCCTGTGTGCATGGTCTCGTCTCTGCCTCGACGGGCAAGCTGGCCTAAGGGAGCCTTCTCTTGTCTCTGAATCTGTTTAAGAACCATGAGCTGCCATCACCCCACCCCACCCCCATTTCCCAGGGGGCTCCTACCCCTCTGATCCCAATCCTGCCCACTGACAAAGATCCTGGTCTCCACAGCAAGCCAGTTTCATGACCCAGACGCCACTTCATCGGTCCAGAAGCTGTTCCTTACGTCTGATCAAGTTAGCCGTCTTCCCCTCCTCAAAACCCCTCTCCTCGTCCCTCCTTCCCATTTCCTTGGTGAGGAGGCCACAGAAGTGAGCTCTGTCACATATACCGCACTACCAATCCTGGTTCCAGGTTTTACACCCTTGCTGACCTGCAGACTGTGCGGCTGGACCGGGAGGGGATCACCACCATTGAGAACCTAGAGGGTCTCCGGAATATTCACAGCCTCTACCTGCAAGAGGTAACTTCATGCCCCATCCCCTTCTACTAAAGGTCTGTGTAATCTGAAAGCACCCAGCCTGGCATTTCCTGCCTTCTCTCGAGTTCAGGCAGGCATTTAAACCACTCCCAGATGAATCAGGCATGATGGTGCACACATTGTAATCCAAGCATTTTGGGAGGCTGAGGCAGGAGGAGTCTAAATTCAACTCAGCCTGGGCAATTTAACAACTTAGTGAGATCATGTCTCAAAAATAAAAAGGACTGGGGATCTAGCTTTAGTTCAAAGACTCTGATTTAGTCCCCAGTATTGAAAAAAAAAAAAGTGACTCTGAAAACACTGTTGAACGATGGTTCTTTAGCTGCACAATTCTCTTGGTCTACAAATCTTTCTTGGTGTCTACTCTAAACTTTTCATGTTGTGCAGCTCAGGCCCATTTTATGTTTTGAAGAAGAGGAGGACTATGGCTTTCAGAATCTTGAAAGCTATTTGGTGGTGGTGACTGGGTGATCTTCAGCCTTCCCTGAACCTCCCTAACTTTCCCAGGGTCTCACTATGCAGTTCAGGCTGGCCTTGACCTCACTGTGGAGCCCAGGTTGGTCACAAACTCATGGTGATCCTCCTGCTTCAGCCTCCTGAGTGCTGGGACAGAGGCATGCAGTACAACATCCAGCTCCCAAAGAAACTTTACAAATCAGATGAACACATGCTCATTGTCCCCTCTGGATATGAAAGCCACCTAGTGGCTCCTGGTTTCTTCCTCTGATTCCCAGGTCCCTCTTTAGTTGAAGGTCAGAAAAGTATACTTTAATCCAGTTTAGCCAGCCCCAAGTTTAAACTTTTATCCACCCACCTGGAGAAAGCCACTGGTCTTCCTCAAGCTAATGACTCCCTCTGCAGTCAGGGGTGGGTGGTCATCCACAAAGGACACTCTATCTCCATGGGGTCAGTGGATGTGGTCTTGGAGCTCTGTCCCCCTCAGCTTGGCTTCCCTACCTTGGTCTCTTCTTGCAGAACATGATCCAGCGGATCCAGAACCTGGCCTGTATCCCCTCCTTGCGGTAGGCGGGCTTGGGCGACACCCCAGAGGTCTGTCCGTGCAGGCTCAGCTGCAGGCGGAAGCCCAGCTCTGCTTTCCTGCTCCCAAATGCAGGGTTGCTGCTTGTCACCCCGTGCCCGGTACCCTCCTCCTTTCCTGTCAGCTGTGCTGTGTTCAGCTCCCTCTCTGTCCCCTTCCCTCCCCTCAGCTTCCTGTCCCTGGCAGGAAACCGCATCAGGCAGGTGGAAAACCTCCTCACGCTCCCATACCTCCAGTTTCTGGACCTTTCTGAGAACCTGATAGATTCGCTGGCGCTGGGTAGGGGCACCCTGATTACCCTCATCTTGGCTCACAGATGTCCCCGGGATGGAGGTGGGGGTGGGGGTTCCCTCTGCCTGTCTCCCTGCTGGTGTCCCCCACACCCTGCTTGTGCTTACTTCATATGGGGGGGCGAGGTGTGAAAGTGGGTGTGGCACCTCACTGCCCTCCTGTGTGTTCAGATGAGCTCCCCCAGAGCCTTCTCATCCTCAACCTCAGTGGAAACAAATGCACCACCCGGAAGGGGTACAGGTGAGGAAGGATGGAGGGCGGGCAGGGGGCGCTGGCTAAGACCGGGTGGTGGCCCACACCTATCATCTCAGCACTCAGGAGGCTGAGTCAGGAGACTTGCCGTGCATTGAGGCCAGCCCGGCTTCCATTGTGAATTCAAGGCCAGCCTAAACTATATAGCACTGCCCTGCCTCCATACAAAAAGTTGCTGGGGGCTCTCTGAGCCTGCAAACCCCGCACTGCCCTTGGCCCCTTCTTTCCCACCCATCTCCCACATACCACACAGCCAGCCCTTGGCACTCTGACTGATGCCAGGTCCCCTCAGCTGCAGGGCTGTGGCAGCACTGGTGTCTGGTGTCCTCCCAGGTTCCTGCCACGGCTCCCTCTGCTCTTTCCACCCACAGGGAGACGGTGACTGCCGCACTGCCCCTGCTGCTGGACCTGGATAGGCAGCCTGTGACCGAGCGCTGGACCTCAGAGGAAGAGGCCTCGGGGGAGGAGGATGAGTTCCCAGAGCTGAGCGGGCCCTTCTGCTCAGAGCGAGGTGACCCTGCTTCCTAAAGCTGCAGCTCCCCCAAAGCCTACCCTGCTCTGTGGGGCTGGGGACAATGGCAGTGGGGTCCAGGGAATGACCAGCAGCCCAGGCAGCCTCTGGGCACAAGTAACAGGCAGCAATGGCCCTAGGCAGCCAGAGGACCTAGCCTTCCCCAGGGGCAGCCACAGGCTCCACCCCTCTAGGGATGACAGGAGATCATCCTGTCATCAGACCTGCTGCTGTGGCCCCTCTAGGCTTCTTCAAGGAGCTGTCACAGGAGATGAGCAGGCACCAGGAGCGCCGGCAGCAGGAGGCCCTGACAGAGCACCTTCTGCGGATGGAGATGCAGCCTGGCATCACCGAGCTGTCCCCTGCCACCACTGCTGGGGACAGCAGCCCTTCTGTCATTCTGGAGCAAGGCGGGGAGCCATGCCCTGCCTCTGTACCCCAGGCCTCCTCTTCTACCACCAAATCTAGCACACTGGCCCCTGGGGGCCAGAAAAGCTGTGTCCAGGTCAGGAAGGGGACCCAAGCCACCACCACCCCTGTGACCTCTGTGGTCAGGGCCCCTAGCACAACCAAAACAATGACCAAGAAAGCCAAGAAGTGAGACTCAGCCTCTGTCTGTGGCTTCCCTGCTCCCCACACCCCTCGCCTGTGCCCAGATCCCCTCCTCAATAAAATGACAGTAGGCCCGAAATATCTTTTGTGTCACCGGGACATCTCAAGGGAAGGAACCAGCCCCAAAACCAGGAAGGAGACACAGTGCAAGCCAAGGACCAGACCTCCTGTCCTGATTGTCCCCAAACAGTGGCCGGCTGCGTGAGGTAGGGTCTTAGATCACAGCACACCCGTGCGTACATACACACAGGGACACTCTGTCCTTGTCCTCATGCTCCATCACGGTGTTGTGCATGCGGCCAGCTCGGGGCTGCCCTTTGCTTCCCCTTGGCTCTTTTACCCCTACGGGACCTGGGATCCAATTCACTGAACCAGAAAACAGCACACTTTTATTGAGGTAAAGGCTGCAAGGGTCACTGTGCTCTGCCCACAGTGGCTTGGGCTGGTGCAGTCTCAGCTGGTGCCCGTGCTAGGAGTAGGCCCAGTGCTCTCTCTCCACGAAGGTCTGGAAAAGGCTGCCCAGCTGTGGGGGTGGCGCAGTCCCCTCACTGGCAGTCAGCAGCCCCCGCAGGACCTCCAGGCCCTCCCGCTCCAGGTCTTGCTGCTTCTGCCGGAGCTGCCTTCCCCACGCCTGCAGGGAGAGTAGCAGGGGTGGGCAGATGTGTCCCCTCTTGCATAACCATGAGAGTCAGAAACCCAGATGCTGTCCCAGGCAGCAAGTGCTGCCACTCCCAGCCCCTTGTGGTTCTGGGGTGCCAGGCCACCTGGGATTACCTGCTCAGCCTCCATCCGCCCCAGGGCTGCCTGGTGTCCCCAATAGAGCACGTGTCTGCGATCCACCTGAGTCTGGAATCGGGGCAGGGTCCGAACAGGGTCCTGGGCTCCAAAAGTGGGGGACAGTACCTGGGGGGCTTGGGCCGCCCCCACCCCGAAGATGAAAGGCTTGAACACCGACCTAAGGGGACAGGGATGGAGGACCAAGGAGGATGGAATCCCATCGTGGCCCTTGCTTGCTATACCATCCCCCTCCCCCTACTCACTCGCTGGTCCCCACCTGGATGGGTCCGGGGTGGCAGTGAGGAAGTGGACACAGGGCCGTGTGGGGTCCTGGGGCAGGACGGACACCATGCTGGCCGTGGTGCGGAAGCCCCCAGAGTCCATGCAGATGCCACTGTCCTTGTCCCTGAGAATGTCCATCATCACCTCTGCTGTGATGTCCCCTGCCAAGGAGGACAGGGTGAGGCCCAGTGGGGCCAGAGCTGGTGGCTCAGGGCCCTCCCCTCTCCAACCTGCCAACCTTGCCATCGCTGCAGCAGCTCGCAGCCTGCCCGGAAGCGTGCCTTGGCCGCCTCCATGCGCACTGGCTGCTGGGACAGCGAGAAGACCTGGGCGAAGTCAAAGGAGCCCTCTCCGCCCCACCAGCCCTGGGCCTGGGCATGGCTCCGAAGCTCTGGGTGTTCAGCCGAGATGTCCATTCCAATGCTCAGCTGGTTGGAGAGGTTCCGGGCCCCCGCTGTGGAAGAGGGGGCCCTTCCTTTACCACAGAGCACCCATTCTGTGCCAGGCACTGAGCTGGGCATCTGCTTCTTATGAGGTAAGGGAGCTCACTACCCAGGGAAGCCCAGGAAGACTTCCTGGAGGAGGTGGCAGGCTGAAGCAAGCCGAGATTTCCTAAGTGGGCTGATTTCCCGTCTGCCCCGTGCCCCAGCTCCCCAGCTCTCCCCTGGCAGAGGGGGTGCATCTCCAGGCCCCTCACCCTGGATCCTTTGAGCTGCCCACAGCCTCCCCGCCGTCTCCAGCACCCACGCCTCTGTCCGGTCGGCCAGCAGGAAGGTGTTGTGGTAGGAGAATGGCGCCGGGGCCTCCCGGCAGCTGCCACCTTGCCCATAGCGCTCCAGCAGGCCTGTGATCACCAGCATGGCGTCCTGGGCTGTGCTGCCCCGCTCTAATGCCAGCCTGGCAAAGAGGGAGAGCAGAGGGCGATGGCACTGAGGGCACCAAGGGGCAGAAGCTCCGCTGGACAGAAAGGGCCCACACAGGCCTGCCTGGCGACAAACCCAAGTCACACAGCTGATTTGCTGCGTAGGGCACATTGCACTCGGAGAGCCCAGGAAAGGCCCAAATCCAGCCTCACGGACGGAAATGTCCTCCAGATAGAAGTGCCCTGAGCCACCTCCATTCTCACTTTTATGAATTGGAACTCTACAGATTTTGATTGAAAAACAGTTTACAAATTGGGTGTAGTAACACACACCCATCATCCCAACTCTCAGGAGGCTGAGGCAGGAACATCACCACAAATTCAAAAAATTTACAACTATTAACCAAAGCCAAGTGCAGTCAGCCTGTCTCCAGGTCAAGCCAGGTGCTTTATCTGCCCCAGGAGACAGTGCTGGGAGGGAGGAGGAGCCAGGCAGCCTCTGTGGCCAGGCACAAGGACAAGGTCAGTCGGGGGAGGAGGCCACCAGAAAGCGGACCCAGGAAGGCAGAGCGCACCTGAGCAGGTCCATGCCCAGCAGGGCCTCCCCGTCCTGGACCGGCTCCTTGGTCCACACGGCTTCGTTGCCAATACAGACCCCGTGCTCGTTGGCACCCATCTCAGCCCCCCACAGCCAGGAGGGTCGGCTCAGAACCACAGCGTGGGTCTGGGGCACCTGGTCCACCTCGATGTAGGTGCACTGGACAGAAAGGGAACGACCACTCAGCAGGGAGCAGCGCTTACTCCAGCCTGCACCCTGCCGGTCACTTTCCACCCGAAGTCTTCGTCCTATTTTACAGATGAGGAAAACAAGGCCACAGAGGCTAAATGCTAGGCTCCAGCCTTCAGGTTTGAGGAAGGGAAACTCATCCTCTTCTCTGCAGCTGGGAGCTCTCAGGGGCCGGGAGCAGAGGAAGGGGGTCTTAGAAGACTATCCGCCGTGCCTCCCTGCGCCCACCTGTAGCCGGCTTCCCGGGGCATGCGTAGCCGCGGGCACGAACACCACCTCCTGCACCTCGTCCCGGGGTCGGTCTGAATTCTTGGCAAAGATCACTGCTGGGATGGCAGAGGCCGGGGGCACAGAGACAAAGCAGTCGCAGGAACAAGGAGCATCAGGGCTCATCGACGCCATCTGCAAAGAGGCAGACAGAGGACCGTGTCCCCCTAACCCGGACCACCTCTCAGGGGTTCGGCCCCTGTGCTCACCACCCCAGGAATCCCACGCTTCTGCGCGTGCGCAGAAAACTTCTCCCCCACCCCTTCCGTCAGCCACTTTTCTGGTCCGCAGTATGGTGTGCCCCTCCCCTCTCCTGCCTCCAAGACGCCCTCAGTTTGGGCCCGGGCGCCACCTTCTCTGTCTCAGGTCAAGTTTGGCCCTCATTGGACAGAGGCTCCCGGGTGACCAGGAAGCGCCTTTGGCCCCAGGGGCGGAGCCGGGACAGAACACCTGCCGTTCCGCCGGTTGCCACCAGAGCGTGCTAGCGTCACTTCTTGGAAATCAACGGCTTTTCAAGTCCCTGCCTCGCTCCCTGTCCCTGGGTCTCAAGCTCCCTTTTATTAGGCCTAATAAAAGCTGGGACAAACCCACAGGCTCATAGGATGGCGTCAGGGGCAGGAGCTGGAGCCTGTGTTATAAGGGGGATTTGCAAGACAGCACGGACTGCTGGGACATTGGGAGATTAAGCACCCCAGCTCTTTGAGTTCTGTCCTAAATTCCAAAGACATAGTCCCCATGAGCTATGTGACAGTCACAAGCCAGGAGGCTAACTTAATGCATTCAAAAGGCATGGGACACAGATGCACAAAACCCATCCCATCCCCAAGTCCTATTCGGCTCTCATTGTGCTCAAGCCTGTAGGAGGATAGCGTTGAAACAGGAACTCCAAATCCAGATTTGGTGCCTTGACATACAGTGAAACTCAAAGGGCAGAGGGGGAGTCCTGGCCGAGGAGGACCCACAGTGCTGGATTTTGACCCAAACATTCAGCTTTCTGGCTGGCATTTTATCAAATACATCGATACACTTCTGCCCCCTGCAACCTTCCAGAAACCCGGAAACGAGGTAGGAGATGCTGCATAGCTGACTTCTAGACTTCTAGGGCTTGTGTTGAATCTGTAAGTCTCTTTCATTTATTTGCTTATTTGTTCATTTTTTTAAAGACAGGGTCTCACTATATAGTTTAGGCTGCCCTTGAGTTATGTAGCCCAAGCTGGCCTCAAACTTGCAGCGATCCTCCTGCCTCAGCTTCCCCAGTGCTGGGATGACAGGTGGGCACCACCTGGAAATTTTAGCAATATGAATCCTTCCAGTTTGTGAATCTTACTGCTTTTCGGGTACAGATCTTTGCCCTCCTTGGTTAATTTTATGTGACAGAGGCAGGGGATTTAGCTCAGCGGCATAAGCGCCTGCCTTGCAAGTGTGTGGTCCTGAGTTTGATCCCTGGTATCAATAAAAAAGAACAAGGAAAAAAGAAAAAAAAAATTGTATCTGACAACACGATTTATAACTATGCATTTGGGGAGGTGGCTTTGTAAGTAAGAGTGTCTTCTTCATTTCTTTGCCCGGTGTCTTGTGGTTCATGGGGGCTCCCCAACTACTGAGACACTGGCTAGGTGGGGGCTGCTTGAGCCCAGGTATGGCAGCCACACTGAGCAATAGAGACTCTAAGAAAGAAAATACTGATCTTTATGTCCTGTAACTTTGATCATTGATTAGTTCTATTTTCGAGTGGCATTTGGTTCCTGAGATTTGTTTTATTTTTTTATTTATTTATTTTTGGTACTGGAGATGGAACTCAGGACTTTGTGCTTACCAGGCAAGTACTTGAGCCACTGAGCTAAATCCCCCGCCCTCTTTGTTGTACTTTTTGAAACAGGGTCTGGCTGTGTAGTTTAAGGCTGGCCTTGAACTCACCGAGTAGCCCAGGCTGGCCTCAACTCATGGTGATCCTCCGGTGCCTCAGCCTCCTGCCTAGTGCTGGGATGACAGGTGTGTGTCACCATGCCTGGCTGGTGGCTGAGATTCTTTCGAAGCCTACACTGCCAGGATGGAAAGTGACCATCGCCTCTGGTCCATCATTGGAAAGGCGTTGGGAGGCTGTCATTAGGCTGCCACTAGATCTCATTTCAGCGAAGTGTCCCCAGGCACCTACAGCCCAAGGCGGCCTGTGGGAGCGCCGCTCCGTTCTGCACTTCCCGGACTGCCCGCTGTGGGGCGGCTGCAGACAGGAAGGACCCAGCTGCAGGCTGCTGCCCTGCGCTGCCCCGGCCGCATTCGCAAGCTGCCTTCTCTCTCGTTTCCATTGCTAACTGCTTTCCCCCACCCTGGGGGTATTCTGCACAGTTCCCGGGCCTGGAGCGAGCTCGGAGAGGTCACCCCGAGGATCAGGGAAATGTGCCACTTTCCCCAACTTCCTCTTCAGGGTCATCTTCCTGGGCGCCATATCTGAGGGTTCCGAGGGGCTCCCTGGGCCAGCCAGGCAGCATTGCAGGCTAGCGTGCAAAGCTGGAGCCCCACCAAGGCCCCCGCTAAGAATGCAGGTCAACGGGAGGAGCTGCTAGGGGAGGAGGGCGGCCGGCCCTGCCCAGACTGGCCCAGCCGGCACTGCGGCTGCCCTGGTGTCCCCGGGAGCGGCAACAGGGAAGACAGAGGGGATGCGACAGGTTCCGAGAAGCAGGAAGACAAAAGAGGTGCCCAGCAGGAGGCCCCCCCACCCAGGCTGGCCAGGCTGGAGGCCACAGAGAGACAGTCCCATTCTCCTCTTGGGCTGTACCCCCTGCCAGATTTGGCTGGAGAAATTGGTTGGGGTAGAGAGTGGGGGAGGCAGGACCACCACTAGGGGAAGAGAAGAAATTCGGCTTAAAAAATATAGGAAGGAAAGGTGAGAAAATACAACCACCTACGCCCTCCACTTCCTTTGGTGCCCAAACCAGATCCTCCGACCAAACTTCCTAGGTTGGGGGTTCGAATCCTGAGGCTTGGCATGAATGAGGCACCAAGTACACGCGTGCTGGTCCTTGGGCAGCCTGGGAAGCTTGCAGGAGAGCCCTGCATGTCACCCCGGGTGGCGCACTGGGTCTGAGCGCCACTGTTGTGTAACCCTGGCAGGTCTCTGGCTGCTGCGAGGCAGCACTCTCTCCCTCAGACTTCCCAGCTGGGCAGGAGCCGATCAGATAGTGCGGCTGCCTTTCATCGCCTTGTCCCTGATAGGGATCACCCTATGTGAAGAAATCGCGCCCCCGCGTCACTCACAGCCAGAGGGATCGGCGGGCTCGCCTGTCCCCGTGCACCCGTGACTGCGGCCCCCAAGGGAGGAAACCGCAGTGCTGGGAAACAGAGGGAAAGAAAACTCTGGAAAGTTCTCATCCCTCTAGGTGAAACCAATCGGGGAAAGGACAGCCAAGCCGTCACCCTCCCTTCCTCTGTCCCTCGGGGCAGGGTCAGACTCCGCTCTCACCAGACCAAATGGATGGCCCTAAGGCCACCCAGGGGCTGCAGGATCAAAGCGAGTGTCCATCTCCCCCTGCATCCCTGGGTTCTGCTCCTCGATGGCTGCCCAGAGACACCGAGTCCAAAAGGAGGGGGAAAAAAAAGCTGGAAGACAAACGAGGCCATGATGCTGCTGAGGACTTTATTGTTGCATGAAAAACAGAGGCTGTTTCTTCTTCCTCCTCTTCCTCCCCCCAAAGTGGGTTCACAGCAAAGAACAAAAATCCTACATTTTTCTCTAGGGGGGCTGCCTACAAGGGCAAGCAGCTGAGAAACCTAGATCTATCCAACAAGGGAGCAGAAGAAAACCTATCCAAAGCCCCCACCTGTAAACCTGCGGGCCAGGCCCTCTAGAAGGGGGAGCATGCATACCCCCACGCCAACACCCATCTGGCAGATCCCCTTAGAATGGTCACTGGAAAGGCCATAGTGGTGGCACAGCGGGGGCGATCGGTTTCGATGGGTGGAGGGGAAGGCACCCCACGCCCACACCCACGGTGCCCGGTGCCCTCCTTTCTCCCCTCCCGCTGGCCGGCCGGGCAGCATGCATGCATAGGGCTCAACACCTCTCCCTGCCCATCCTCTCTTCCAGGAAGGGAACTCGGGTGGATGAGCAGGAGCTGGGGAAAAAAAAGGGAGCACAAAGAAAGAAGCTTACTTCTTACACTATCCCAGGCCGGAGTCCCACAGGGAATGCAGTGCCACCCTGTCCCTTTTCAAGAGGGGCCTTTGACACAGACACATTTCCTACCCCCATTGCAGCCCCTGCTTCCTGTGGAGCTTGTAGTCCTTGGACAGGGTCCCAGCACCCCCAGTGGACAGAGTGGACAAAATGGAGTCTCAGGAGACCCCAGGCTCAGTAGAGAAACATGCACACACATTCACACACACACTCACACACATGCCCTAATATTAAATAAAATACCCTTCGCTCATAACTTAAAACTCAATACACAGCTAATCCCTGCAGAGGGCTCTAGGTGGAGAGGGGAGCAAGGGGACCGGAAGGTCAGAGGGACCAGAGGCCTGGGCGGCAGGCCCGGGATGTCCCCAGCTCCAGGGTCCCCTGGCCTGCCAGTCCCTCCTGTATCCTCTTCCTTCCCCTCACCTGGCTCAGCCTCCGCCAGGGCTTCTCCCCTCCCTGTCCCGCCCCCCATCAGAATCTATATGTATTTCTAAAACCTAAAGGGCCAGGGAGGGACGGGGCAGCTTCCTGAATCCCTGGGGGGGGGGGGTCCTTCATACAGAAGGGGCAGGGCAGATCTTCAGCGGGGGCAGGAGGCCTTGGCTTAGCTGGTGGGGAGGGGAGGGAGCAGGAGAAGCCTGCCCCCTCCTCCCATCTGTCTGGGGGAAGGTAGAGCGTGGGAACCTAGTGTAAAGACCGACACCAATTTCAGAGCCTTAAACACCGACCTGGGGGCATAGATGGGGAATGTGAATTTGATCAGAACCCAAGAGCTAAGGGCTGAGTCAGAGTCGGTGAAGGAGAGGGTTCCTTCCTTCCATTTCCCCGCCAAATCCCTTCTCTTGTTTGTTTTTAGAAGGGGACCTGCCGCTCAGCCGCTTCTGCCTCCCATCTAACTCTGTCCTGCACCCATCGTGCTGGTTGGACAACTGTCCCCTCTTCCCACGGTGCTCCATCACAAAGATCCGGAAGAATTAACAGGGTGGCGACACCAAAAGACCTACTTCTACATCCACCACCCTCCAAGCCACAAAGCCACCCCTCCTAAGAGGACCCAGGCAGGCGGACCCCAAGGCGCCCAGCTCTCCCTCTGCAAACCCCAGGGGCGGGAGCTGGGGGAGGGGATGAAAGGGGCCAGGCCGCAAGGCAGCTCCGCAGGCGCTTTTAAGTCGGGGTTCCCAGGCGCTGAGGACGTGTCCAGACAGCTGCCCCAGCGCCCCAGACCGGCCCCACTCAGCTCGGGGACGCGCCATCCTCTCTCCCGCCGGCCCTGCCAGCCCTAGGCGCGCAGGGGGGGCGGGGGCGGGCGGTGCCCATTCCCAGCTCCCAGCCCCTAGGGACCGACCGAGGGGTCTGGCAGCCCAGCCCCCCACGTCCCAAAAGCTAACAACCCCCCTGCGTCCATCCCCGCCCCTGCTCAATAAATAACCATCTCCCCCTTACGTAAGCATCACCCCCCACACCAGGCTCTCTGGATGCGCCCACGGAGCCCGCGGGGAGATGGCCGCCAGGGGCAGCTCAGTTGGAGGGCGCCGCGCTGCCCTCGGCCTCCCGCTTGCCTTTGCCCCCCGGCGGCTCCACCGTGCCCCCGGCCTTGGCCTCGCCCGGGCCCGCCCCCGCCGCCTCCTCCTTGGCGCCCTCGTGGGTCTTCATGTGCTTGGCCAGGTGGTCGCTGCGCATGAACACGCGGCTGCACACGGCGCAGGGAAACTTCTTGGTGCCCGTGTGCGTCTGCAGGTGGCGCTGCAGCTCGTCGGAGCGCGTGAAGCGCTTGCCGCAGAAGAGCCAGTTGCACACGAAGGGACGGTCGCCGCTGTGCCAGCGCAGGTGCGCCTTCAGGTGCGACGTCTTGGCGTAGGCTTTCCCGCAGCCCGGGATGTGGCAGTTGTGCAAATGTTTCTTCTTGCTCCCGTCGGGCCCGCACGGGGTCCCCAGTCGCTCGGCCTCCATGCAGTTGGGGCAGCGACACACGGTCTGGCCCGAGCTGCGGGGCACAGATCGCCGGGAGCCTTTGGGTCGGGCCGCCGCATCCAGACTGGAATCCAGCCCTTGGGACTCGGGCGCCGCCGCTTCCAAGGCCTTAGCTCCGTCGGGCGGCCCCAAGAGATGCTGCCCCCCGGCGGCCGGGAGGAGGTGGTGCGGGTGCGGGTGGGGCGGCGGGGCGCAAAGCTGGTGGTCGCCGACGTAGCCCCCCAAGCCTGCCTGGAGCGCCCCCGGGTGGCCAGGGGAAGTGAGGGCGCCCTGGGTGTGGGAGAGGTCCATCCAGCTGGTGCCCGGATGAAGGTCCCACCACGAGCCGTCCTCCGTGCCCGGGTGGGTCGGCCGGAACCACGATTCGTAATGGTGCGACATGTCCGGTTGCAGGAGCTTGGAAAAGGGTCCCGGAGTTAAGGGACTGTCACTTTCCAGGTCCTCGCAGGTCACCCGCGAGGAGACCCCCGGCAGCTCATAGCCTTGGGAGAAGTCCACCTCCGGGCCCAGCGGGAGGCTCTGCAGCTCTGCCGGCTGCAGCGGGGAGGGGTAGTCCCCGGCCTCCGGGCTCGTGTGGCCCTGGTACGTCTGGAGCGGCTGCAGGTCGAGGCGCGGCGGGGAGGCGTGAGGCGCGTCCGGGTGCTGGCTGCCCAGAGAGCCGCAGACAGCGGTTAGCATTGCCGGGATCCGGGGTGGGGTGGGGCAGGGACGGTCAGGGGCACCTCAGGAGGGACCTGCAGGAGGCAAAGAGGAGGCGACGTGAAAACACAAAGTGATGAGCTCCTCCGGTCCCAACTCACGTCCTCTCTCCTAGCTTGCTAAAGACTCATCTCTGGCCCCCAAGTGCTAAAAGAGGGTGGGGCTCTGAGCAGGGACTAGACCTCCAAGAGGGGTGCAAATCCGAGTTTTCACCAGGGCAGCAGGACGGCCTTCCTCCTGGCCATCCTGTCCGTCCCCTCACGGTCGTAGGTCACAGTACTAGAAACACCTCCAGCCCAACTGGCAGGCCAGCGCCGAGCGCTGCCCGCTCCAGGGAAGGTTCCAGACCCCTCGGCATGCCCAGCTCAACTCGGGGCACAGCTGGAGAGGGCGCGAGCCAGGGCAAGCCTCTCATTTCGCACGAACCAAGGGGGCGGTGTGCTTCGGAAACCGAAGCGGAAGGTGACTTGCTCTTCGGAAGCCCAGAGCAGGGCCCTAGTGTGTGTGTGGGGAGCCCTCGGTGCCGTGAGGAAGGGCGTCTCATCTCTCACACGACCCCCCCCCCCAGCTCCCACGCCTCACCACCCCCTTCCCTTGGGCAGGGACTTCACCTCCTTGGGTTGCAGCTGCAGTGCCGGTTTCTGGGGACGTCGCCTCCACCCCAGGCTGGAGAAAACCGAGTTCCCCTTCCCTCTCCCTATCCACACTACACTAGCCACTCTCGGGCTGCTATCCGCGCCCTTCTCCAAGCTGGGGGAAACTCGCATAGGACGGGAGAGAGGTCGGGTTCTCCAGAGAAACGCCTGCGCTCGCCCAGGAGCTCAGGCAGCAACTGCCACCACCACCACCACCACCCAGAGGGACGCAGGGTCGCCGCTGGGGCAGAGGAAGGCGGCGAGAAAAGCCGTCAGCTCGCAACTTCAGCGCAGGAATTGCCCAAAGAGATTACATAAGGTGGTGCGCCTCAGTCCTGGAGACTTAGAGGCTCTCCAGATGATTCTAATACGCAGTCAAGCTTTGAGAACCACGGTTCTGGGCCAACCCTCTAATTGTATTATTATTATTTCCCCAGCCCTCTTATTTTAAAGAAAACGTGCCAGAGGTGGCGTTTGGAGCCGCGGTTGGGACTGCTATGTCCCTTTACTGTTCGGTAGGCAGCCAGGTGCCGCGCAGCCTACGGGAGCCGGGCCTCCACACTGGGCTCCGTCCCTGCGCCCCCAACCCGTCGGGATCCCAAAGCCTCCGGGCCCTTTCTCGACAGACCTGCACTTAAGCCCCCCACCCCTTCTCATCACCTCTCCCCCGACCTGGTCGCTTTCACCGCTCAGTTTGTGCGAGGCTGGGAGGAGGAGGAGGCCGGCGGTTTAGGCGCCGTCTTCCCTGCACGCAGCCGGCTCTGCTCCTGCAGCCGCCTTCTGGCCCTGGCCCGGGGGTGGCGGGCCGTCTGGGAGAGGCCGGGAGAGCAGGGCTGGGCGCCTACTCAGGCTCGGGCAGCCTCACCACAAGAAAGGAGCAGGGGGTGAAGCAGCGGGAGCCGAGCCTGTGCTGGGGCGGGGCGGCCCGAAGGGGCTGGGCGGGCGCGGGGAGGCCTGGGACCCTGGATGGCTTTTGGCGCCTGGGAGCTGCCCCGGGGGCTGGGGGAGGGGACGGCTGGGCGGCCGAGGCTGGGGGGGCCTCGATCGGCGAGGAGCCCGGTTACCAGGCCAGGGGTGCAATGCCTGCCCCCGAGCTGCAGGGCGCGCAGGGAAGGGGCAGAGGTTCGGCCACCGCCCGCATCCCCGCCGCGCCTCGGTCCCCAAGTACCGAGGCTCGGGTCGTCCCCGTCGCTCCAGTTTCCCCAGTTTTAGCCTCTGCGATGCCTCCGGTTTGGCCCGCCCGCCCGGTTTTCCCCGGGTCCGGGCTCTAGGTCCCCCAGCCTTTCGGGGCCATCCCCCAGCCGGCTCCTACCTGGGGCTGCGCTTGGGCTCCGCGGGCGCGCCTTACAGAGCTGCGCGCATCGGTGTCGCGCGCCGGACGGCGCAGGAGGCGAGAGGCAAAGCCGGGGGCGAGGGGCGCTGGGGGCCGTGGGGAGCCGGCGGGAGGCGAGGGCGGGCGGTAGCCGGCGGGCGGGCGGGCGAGCGAGGCCAGCTCCCCGTGACTCACCGCGCGCTCTGCCGCGTCCGCGCCCTGCGCTGCTTTTTCCCCGGCCGCGGCCCCGCCCCCTCACCTGCAGCCTTCTTAACCCTTGCGGGCTCGGGGGCCCGGAGGGAGGGGCGGGATGGGCGGGATGGGCGGGCTGGCGATCGAGGCTCCTCCCTAGCCCTGGCCATGTCCAGTCCTCTCCACTTGCTGGACTAAGGGCCCCTACGGGTGGGAAACTAACCTCCAGCAAGCTCAGTCTGCTCCCGGACGCGATGCAGAGCTTGGGTGGGGGGCCCCTGGGGTGCTCCTGGGCCACACATTTTAGGGCTCCCATTGCTTCGCCCGATCCGGGGAGTTAAGAAGGAAACAGGATGAGCGCCAAGAATGTGTCTGGTCCACTCGCAGGCCTGGACCGTGGAGAATTTGTCCTCAGCCCCGTTTCTCTCCAACAACACCCTCCCCGCCCTTCCTCCTGAGGCTTTCTGTGCTCCGTCTCTGGCCTCCCCCTTTTCTAGGTGCCCCCCATTTCTTCCCCGACTCGCGGGTCTCTGCCGGCCTCCCACCCCAGTCTCTCAGACCCCTCTGAGTTCGCGCTCCACCTCCCCTTGGACCGAACCCCTGAGCCTCCCGCTGGGTCCCTGCGGTGCAGGACTGGAGGCTGGCGCGGGGGTCCGCGAGGCCCCGGGCAGGGACATTTCTGGGGAGCCCTTGCGGCCGGTTCTTCCCCGTTCTCACGGGAATATCTAACGTTGGAGAGAGGTCCCGGATTTCTCTAAGAAAAACCGAGGCATGGGCACAAGGCGACACCGAGGTGAAGTTGCGGGGCGTGCCCGGCGCTCACCTGAAAACCTCTCCCAAGATCCCGATTGGCTGAGGTCCCCACCCCCAGATGCTGGCGCAAGAGAGACCCCTGTTCCCTGCGTGTTCCCCTGTGTCTGAAGGTGTCTTCCCCGTACTGAGCTCCCGAGGTGACCCTCCACGCAGGTGGCCTCGGATCAGTTTATATTTTCTCTCCTGGCTGGAGTGAGTTTTCCCTAGGCGCTTGACCACTGGCTTTTTATATTTTCAGGACTTTTCCTTTCGACCTTAGGCTCTGGCCGCCTCCTCTCACCCATCCTGGTCTACCTGGCCTGCGTTCCCTTTTTCGGACGCACTAAAGACTCAAAACAAAAAACGAAGACAAAAACAAAAAACTAAACTCCACAAAGCATTTGAAAGCCAATCTCTGTGTGTGTGGTCGCCCCCTCCTCCGCCCCCAAAATCCTGCATTTGTTTTTAGCCAGAGTCAGTATCTGATCAATTCGTGCATCTCCCTCTTTTCTAAAGTTCCCTTCCTCTTGACAACCAGGGTACAAGTTGGGAGGGTTTCCTGGGGCTCACAGGAAGGATGTGTAGGGCAGGGGACAGACAGGCGTCCTTGTGGTGATTGTTAAGTACATCGGTTCCCAGGGTTGCTTGGCGCATTCCCAAGGATCTTCGGGTTAGATGTCACAGACCTAGGTTCTAGCCCCTGTCCTGCACACTTGCTAAACTGTCCCTAGCAGAGCAGGGTGCTCTGAGGCCCCCTTGTCCCCTGCTGCCCTGCTGGGTGAGGAGTGGACATTGGTAAATCAGGAGGAGGCATCGCCCCAGTATCAGGATTTCTGCTATCATCCCGACATCAAGATTTCTTTCTTCACCAAACTTAGGGCACCTCGGGGCAGTCACAAGAACAGCTCTGAGCTGGGGATACAGCTCAGCGGCACAGCGCCCACCTGCCAAGCTGAGATCCTGAGTTCCATTCCTTTTACAAAAAAAAAAAAATAAGAACTGCTCAGCATCCTTGTGACCATGGCTGAGTGAGCCTGTGTGACACAGCTTCGTCTGTTTGGGTTCTGCCTGCAAACCCTCCCAGCACCTCCCAGCTGCTCCCCCGAGACAGGGCTGGGCACGCACCCAGGTCTAGAGCAGAATCCCCTCACCCAGCCAGTGTGACTCGGGGTCCTGAGTTAGGACTAAGCAGACCCTCCTTTGTTCACCCCTCCCCAGCTGCCTGCCCTTGCCGAGCCTGACCTGTGACTCTTGGAAACTAAAGTTGGGGTGGGAGCTCTGACACCTGGTGGGGGACCCAGTTTCTTCTCCATTTATGGGCACCACGGTGCCTTAATCTTCCCTGTGCTGCCCATCTTTTCCTGGAAAGCAACAGGGAAGATGAGCGCAGACACCATATCCCACTTCCACCATCGTGCCCCTGTGGTCCCAGGCCACTCTGATCCATGGCAACCTGCACGTTGTCCCTGGAAGCGCTCAGCAGTAGGGAGCCCTGCCTTCTCCCAGGCTCCCCTCCACTTCCTCTCTCTGCTTCCAGCCCTCTGGGTTCCTCACTTGCTAGAAGTTTTCTTACAAAGTGATGACTGTGATCGCATAGGGACACCAGTGCCAAGGTTACCATGGCCTCAAAACAAGACGCTACGCATCACACAGACTGGCCCAGAACTTGGGCCACTTCTGCCCGCTCCCTCCTCCCTGCAAACACAGATTCCCCTGTGAGTGGCCACCCCACACCTGTCCCTGCCCAGGGCTCCCCTTCTCCAGCCTCATCCATCCGGTTTGTGGCAGGAGCAGAGCAGCTGTCTTCCCCTGCCAGGTCATCAGAGGCAGCATACTGAGCACCTACTAGGTGCCTGCCAGGCACTTTCCATAGACCTAGATCATTCTCATGAGCATGCAACAAAGTAATTATTATTATTATTCCCACTGTACAGATGAGGAAGCCAGGGATCAAAGACATTAAATGACTTGCCCAAGATTACAGAGCTGTTAAGGGACAGGAGGAAACTGAGTCTAGATCTCAGACTCTGCAGCCCACGTTCTGCCTGTTTTTTCCACGCAGCCTGACTTTAGCAGAAGCCGCCCCTCAGGGGCTCTGGCTCCTGCACACTGAAGGTGGAGGACACAGGAGTCTTTTTTTTTTTTTTTTTTTTTTATTGGTACCAGGGATCGAACTCACGACTGCCTGCTTGCAAGGCAGGTGCTTATGCCCCTGAGCTAAATCCCCAGCCCCAAGGGCACAGGATTCTTAAACAATGCCCAGATCCCAGCCACCCAGCATCTCAGGGCTCACAGGCCAAACTGATCAGATCTCGCATGGCCAGGACAAATGACAGCCCACACAAGACTAGCCCCTTTCCAGCCTGCACTGTCCAGCAAAAATGGCACTAGGACAGTGTCACAGCTGCCCGCACTCTCCAAGCCCTCATTGGCTCTAGGGGAAACTGAACCCCAGAACAAGGGCATCCTGCTGCGGGGGGGGGGGCTGAGCTCCCAATTCCTGGCCCCCTAACTACTCTCTCTTCTCTGCCCCCCACTCCCACCTCCAGGCTGCACTTCCAAAACAGGACGCTGCTGCCTCTGGACGCCAACAGGGTCTTGCTTCTTCATTCCACCTCCCAGGTTCCTGAAAACCTGGTGGAGTACCCAGAACGGGGGTCAAATAGTTTCTGGGTTCTTTATCCTTCATTCATTCAACAAACACTTCCTGAGGGTCGAACTGGGGCCAGGCACCATGCCAGACACTTTTTAGCAATTCTTTTTAGCAGGCCAAGGGTCACAAGCATCTACCCCAACCCTCATCAATGATCAATGTAGATGGTGAGCCCCTGAGGTAGCATGTGTGTGTGCGTGTGTGTGCACTGACACACGTGTGTGCATGCTGTGCCCATATCATCCGCTCCCCTCTGTCAGAAAGCCCTGTGTTCTATTTGTTTGTCCTTTTTTTTTTTTTTTGAGTCAGGGTCTCCCTGTGCACCCCCAGCTGGCCTTGAACTCATGTGGATCCCCCTGCTTCAGCCTCCAGCCTGCGGGATGACAGGCCAGTGCCACCAGGCCCTGCTGCTCTGCTGTTTGTGAACCGTGCCATAGGCATGCGCCCGGCACAGCCCTCCTCCCTCTCAGAGTGAGGCTCCCCAGCCTGGTGCGGGCCAAGCAGCCCAACCTGACCTCCCGGGGACCCCTGTGACTAGCTGTGCAGACCCTGTCCAGTGCCTCCAGGGTTAGGGGAGTCCAGCCTCCCTGACCCTTCTCCGCGGCCCCCTCTGAGTGGGGAGCCAGTCCTCAGCGGGGGTCCCCTGGCAGGGCCGGTGTCGCCTCTCTTACCC